GCCTGCTCACATTTTCAGGAAGATTGTTCCAGCTTTTAGCTTCATAAATCTATAACCGCTGCCTCTCTATGTTTAGTTCCGGTGCTCCTTCAGAGTCCCAACAGGAGGCCAGTCCTGTGCTCCCTCAAAGTCCCAACAGGAGGCAGTCCCTGTGCTCCTCAGAGTCCACAGGAGAGCCCAGTCCCTGTCTCCTCAGAGTCCACAACAGGATGCCTAGTCTCTGTGGCTCCTCAAGTCCTCATCAGGAGCCAGTCCCTGTGCTCCCTCAATCCCTACAGGATTGTTTAGATCTGTGTCGCTGTTCACAAACAAACTTTGCATTTTCAAAAATCATTTTCCTAAAGTCACCCAGCCTTTTTTTCAGTGAACCCAGACCCCAGAACATTCACTCTATAAAGAACTCCTCTGGGGTTGATTCAGGATTACATGATGGGTCTTTTGTACCTGTGAATGTATGAATTTAGTGAAATAAACAACTGTCAGCTCAAATCAGAAACAAATGGTTTCATGTATCTTCCAATAAATAAAGTATAAATCTGGTATTTTCCATAAAATGTAAGAACTAAGTCTTAGTCCTGGGTTTAACATGATGAGCGGCTCCATTCTGCAAGAGGTGAAACTGTGAAGGAGTTTTTATAACAGACGGACACAAAGTATAGTTAATGATTAACCTGATTATTGTCCGTTGGAGGACTTTATCTGGATTGATCTGCAGCGAGTCCGACGCTGACAGCTCAGAGAAAAGAGACCATTGTGTTCTCCAAATCTCACTGCAACCCAACTTCAAACCACTCAGTCAGTCGGAGAAACTGAGGAATCATTTTGATCCCTCCTGTAAACTGTGTGGGACCAAAAACTTGGATATTCACTTTATAGAAAATATATATCAATACAAAGTGAGTCATAGACGATTTGGACACAAAAATCAAAGAAGTACATTCAAAATCACAAATAAAAATGCTACTAATTGCTAAAAATGTTCATTCCAATGAAGTCAAGTGACTGTTCTGGTATTTAAAGGTTAAAAAAAGATAGTGTCTTAAAATAATGACATAGCAATAATCTACATATAGATACCCCAAGACCACAAATGAGATTTCATAACACTTTGAAGCAACTTTGTTAAAGTTAAACTCATCATTCTATCAATGTGCAGAAGCCAGTACTTTTCCCTTGTTTTGTCTAACTGAAGGCCAAGCTACAAGCACACTGTGGAAGCTGCTGATTGGAGGTCTCCATGCCTCCGCTCTGTATAATACACTTGCATTCTCTTGTATCTGTGATCGTGTGCTTTGTTCGTGCTGTCTCTACCATTGACAATAAAACATGTCTTCTGTCGGAATGTAAGACACGATCCCAGACTTGTCATCTTCTTCAGGTGGTGGAAGGATGCAGGCCTTGTCTGTAACATCTAGTGAACAGAAGACTACTTTTTTTTTTTACACAAAAAGTGTTTTTTTTTTAAGCCAAAACTGAAAAACCTCAAGAAGAATGCATCTGGACCAGCACACATGGACAATCTGCACAGCCCCTGATTCCAGTCAGGCTGTGAGCTGCTGAGACATGGACAATACCATCGTCCTCTTTTGCATGGACACCATTTGGAACAATTGGATTACACAATTTGGACATGATTTGGAACAATTGGATTTCTGAATTTGGACATAATTTGGACTGAATTGAATTGCTGAATCTGGACACTAAAGCTGAAACGTGTGATTGAAAGACACGTCACAGAAGAATTCATGGCTCGACACAAATGCAGCCTGAAGAAATCAACAGAGAAGTGGGAGAGACTGTTTTCAAAGCAATATCTGGAACCACCATCGACTGATGAAGTTTGGTATTTTACTGAAGATTATTGACAAGTTTTATGAAAGATCTGAAAATGTTTTATGAGTTTTCTGAGTTTTTGAAGTATTCCGAGTTCTGAGTTTTTTGAAGTACCGAGTTTATAAGTTTTTGAAGTATTGAGTTATGATGTTATGTTGCTGTTTATCGATCCTGATGGTCACACGTGAATGTATGACCAGAGGGGGGAATGTGAGATTTCATAACACTTTGAAGCAACTTTTGTTAAAGTTAAACTCATCATTCTTACAATGTGCAGAAGCCAGTACTTTTCCCTTGTTTTGTCTATCTGAAGGCCAAGCTACAAGCACACTGTGGAAGCTGCTGATTGGAGGTCTCCATGCCTCCGCTCTGTATAATACACTTGCATTCTCTTGTATCTGTGATCGTGTGCTTTGTTCGTGCTGTCTCTACCATCGACAATAAAACATGTCTTCTGTCGGAATGTACTGTAAGACACGATCCCAGACTTGTCATCTTCTTCACAAGTCTCTGGGCAAATGGGGCATTGTCTGGGCCATTAACATTTTCGTATACCTTGTGCACGTATCAAATCTTGACTCAACAGCAACATTATATCAGCTTTAGGATCAAAAGGTTCAATAATACATGCCAGGTGTTTCAGGTGAGAATGGGCTAGATCAACTTCTGGTGTGGGGATTTCTGACTAATTGTCTGGCAGAAAGTCACACTCAAGAAGGGAAGGCAGAGAAGATGAGAACTGACCATCAACTGACTGGATGACAACGTTCCCTGCTATGCGGCCATTTGTAATAGACACCCCAGTGCATGTTTTAAGTGTGTATGGCGCAGTGTTGTCCATAGGTATATCAAAAAGGTCTAAAAGTGCTGTTTTGGCTAGTGACCTATTGGATTGGTCATCCATGAAAGCGTAGACCTTGACTTTCTTGTCTGGGTGCCCCTCTGGATAGACGTAAGTCTGACATATTTTAGAGCAAGAACGTCCCCCACGTAAGTCCCCACAAACCTGAGTGCATGCTGAGGTTATCACTAAAGTGCCTGTACTACTCTACCCGCCTTGCTCCTCCCTATGCTCCCATACCGCCCTGGTCTGGAGAGGCATATGGGGTCCGCTTGTTTACCATTACTGTTGTTTACTGTTGCATTCTGAACATGTGATTTCGACCTTGCAATCTTTCGATTGGTGACTGGAGGAATTACAACATCAAAAGCAAATATTGTGCTCTCTGAGATATGCTTTGCACTCATCTAGTGTCTTCTCTCTAAAACCCCGACACTTCCTTAATGGGTGTGGTTTCTGATGAATGGGACACAGTTCATTTGTGAACTCTTTGGTTGAGCTAGTATTGTATGTGTCATTTGCTTCCGTTTTGTGGACAGCGACTGGAGCTCTGAACTTAGCAGCTCCGGAGTAGTGGTAGTCATGAACAGCTAAGGTGGATGTGGTGACTGGTGTGGCTGACTTAAAGCTGGGGTCATTTCTCATTTTGGCTTCACCCTGTATGAATTGACAGAAAAATGAGAATGGAGGGAAGCTAACATTGTATCGACGCTTGAATCGTGTCCCCTCTGCCATCCACTTATCTTGTAGACTAATGGGCAGTTTTTCAACCACTGGGAAAATGCAACGTGAGGTGTTTAAATACACTAAACCAGGTAAAAAGCCATCTGATTTTGCTACATCTATTTCTGAGAGTAAGTCCCCAAGTTCCCTTAGTTTTTGTGGCTCTTTATTTGTGACTCTAGGAAAGCTCTCTAATCTGCCAAGCAGAGACTTTTCTAAAGCATCAGAAGTACCGTAGCATTCTTGTAGCCGTTCCCAAACTTGACGTAGGCCATCAGCTGGATTGTTGAGATGGACAGAACGTATGCGTTTGGCATGTTTGGAAGATTCCTCACCTAGCCACCGAGAGAGCAGATCCAACTCTTCACTTGGCCGTTAGCCTAGCCCCTCTATAGTGCAATAAAAAGGAGCTCTCCATGGCCAGTAGTCCTCAGCTCTATCTGTGAATTTAGTTAGACCATCTGTAACTAAACTTCTTTTGGCCAGAAATTTAGCAAGATCAGTAAGGTCGTTATTCCCACCGTTATATTGATTTGGACGAAAGGGCGGACTGTGAGGTGTGATGCTGGTGCTCTGGGAGAAGAGCAGCTGGTGACAGATTGCTAACCTCCTCTTTCATAGCTGGGTAGCGTGTCTTTGGTGCTTATGCGAAGGGAGTGGTTGGATCTGGTATTGGACTCATACTGCCTCTTGGTACAGGTTTAAAACGTTTATTGTCTGGTACGTCTTCTCCAAGATAAAGACGAGTATTGAAGATAAGAATGCAGTCCATAGTTGTCGGAATATGTTGTAACTGGAAGTTGATTTAGCGCTTAAGTAGTCAATATAGGTGGAGCGGTGGCTTGACTGGGCTCAGAGTCCACATGCTGTTTAACTCTTTCAGTGCCAGACATTTTCAGAACATCACTCCTCCAGTGCCAGCCATTTTGCTGATTTTCACCAACTTTTAAAGACCTATAGAATATGTTCTGCTATGACTAGCTGAGACCATATTCTGAAAGATTGGACCCTCTAGTTTCCTCAGAAAAAATAAGTGTGTTTCTATCTGCTTTAGTTCTTCTGTAATCACCACTGGAGTAAGTGAGGTGTTTGTGAATGAGGTGTTTGTGAAAATAAGCAAACAATGCAGAAAAGTGACTTTGAATTTTTTTTTTTACTTTAGTCATTTCCCACACAACAGAACATTCTTACCATATATAAAATAAGGGAAATGACTCAAAATAAAGTGCTTTTGATAGCAAAATAATACTCAGAACACAGAATAAGAAATGTACAAAACATAAATTACAAACAAATAACTATATACATAAAGTGCAATAGATTGGCTGAGAGTGCGTGTGTGTCTACATATTGTAATCTTGTTGTGTGTGATATTTAGTGAAGCACTCTCCTTTGTGTAAGGGGACACCACATGCCTTGCACCACATCCTGGTCTCACTGCGCAGGCCTTTGGGCATGCAGACGCTGCATCTCCTCGAGGGTCTGGTCTTCGAGCCGGAGGACAGCAGGTACTCCACCTTGTGCCTGGCATCCTCATTGAGCCTGCTCTCTGGATCAGTGTTATATGGAGCCCTGGGGTTTCGCGATGCTCCTTCCTCCACACATGCAACGATCAACTCGTTCTCCTCGTTTTGGTCCTCCTCGTCCTCCTTGTCCTCAATGTCCTCGATGTCCTCCTTGTCCTCAATGTCCTCCTCGTCCTCGATGTCCTCCTCGTCCTCATCCTGGACCTTCAATGTCCAGGACCTCATGACCCCCTGCATAAATTCTAAGAGGGTTTTGTATTCCCGGTTCCCGTTCCTGGCTCTGTAGCGAGTGTAGGCATTGTACATTGCGATTTGGAACAGGTAAGCTACAAACTTTTTGGTCCAGTTCAGAGACTTCCGGACGAACGGGTAGTATTTTATATTTTGATCCAATCAATCCACGCCATTCATGGAGGAGTTATAGGCATCGACACACTCCGGTTTTAGGACAGACACCTTCTCCCTCTGTCCTCGCTGCCAAACGTCGACACTGGTCATGTTGTCATGGTGACAGGTTGTCAACATCTTGACAATCCGTTTGTCCCGCCACGCCACAACCATGACCTTCCCATTGTTCACCACGACTCTCCCCACCACACTCAGCTCAGTCTTGGTCAAGTCCCTAATGCTCTCAGGCTCTCCCCGGTTCTTCCTCAGCGTCCCACACACATTTGTTTTTACTGCCAACAACTGCTCAGACAATGCCACAGAATTGTAATAGTTGTGTAATAGTGTGGCCGGCACCTGGGAGACGGTCAAGGAGAGAAAAAACAATGTCAGGGATCGTGCGGGGCTCACCAACATAGGGCTGCAGGTTAAAGCAGTAGCCGGTGGCAGAGTCGCAGAGCACATAGGACTTTATGCCATACTTTATGGGCTTCTGTGGGTTGTAGACCTTGAAGGCCAGCCGTCCTCTCCAGAGCAACATCCCCTCATCTATGCAAATATTCTGCCCGGGTTGGAACATTACCTTGAATTTATTGATCAGGTAGTCGTAGACGGGGCGAACCTTGTATAACCTGTCAGTTACATCAATTGCAGAGTTGTCATTGTAATGGAGGAACCTCCATATGAGTTGGAACCGGTTCCTGGACATTATTTTAGTGAAGAACGGGGTCAAAAACATCTCATCCACGTTCCAATACATTGCCAGGGTTGGCTTGTGGATAACACCAGTGAGGAAAGACAACGCAAAGAACTTTTTTAGCTCTGGCATGGTCACTGGTCTCCATGCATACTTTCTGCTGTGCTGCGGAATCTCTGGGTTTGCCAGGAAATGCTGCTGAGCATAGAGGTTGGTCTGTTCTGTGATGTGCTGGAGCAGCTCGTCCGTGAGGAACAGCTCCAGGAAGTCAGCAGGCGAGGTGGACTCCAGCTCTGCTGCCGCGTTCAGGGGACCAGGCATTGCAGTGAAGGGGAACACAGTTGGTTTCCATCCGGATTTCCGCCAGGTGCCGCCTTTACCCTTTGCAACTGTAATAAATTATGGAAATTTACACAATAAATAGGAATCAAATACAGCTCGTTTTATTGATTTGATGTGATGTAGAGAAAGATATTCCTACCTCTTTTCTTCACACCTGTATTTGCATGAACAAATACAAGGCCAACGCTGGCAGCGCCTCTGCTCAATGTAGCGCCTGTATAGAATTGTACAATAACTCATCTATCCATATACACACATAACCAAATACATATATACACACACGCAGAGACACACGCACACACTACACATACATACATATTATACATACATACATACATATACACACACATGCATATATACATACATATTTGAGTATTTTATTTACCTGTAGGCCTCCTTTTACCAGCATTGTTACTCCTGGATTGGGCCAGCACTCTGCTTACTAGAAATACACACAAATACAATCATGAGAATTATACAAGAATACTTTTAGTCATTGCTATATACATATGTATAATGTATGCATTACCTGCTCTGCTGGTTGCTCTGGGGGAATCGGGGGATGAGTCATTGCTGTTTGGGTCAGCTTCAGGTTCCCATAGCTCTGAAGAGCCTGCATCCGACGAGGAACTTTCTCTGAACCGACGTGGACCACTGGAACTGCGTGCGGCGGCTCTGGAGCGACGTGCACGGCAAGGACTCCCACTAACGGCCAGATGTTTAGACTTAGCTTTAGCAGTAGCTTTAGCCGCAGCCTCAGGCTTTTTGCCAACTGAAGGCCGAGGCAGATCACCTCCACCTTCATCATGGCCATCACCCACCGACCTTCTGATGGTACCACCAGCACCAAACGCCTCCTCCATTCTGATTCTTACTGTAATTATACAAAAATAAAGGCAGTTAGTTCAGCTTTAAGGACACAAACTCGGGCTTCCTTTCCTTACTGCTTGACTCGCTCTGCTGCTGCTCTGATCAGCAGCGGGGGGCTTTTTTGATTGGGATCAAGCCCCTCTGGGCACGTGCATTAGAGCCTCACTCGCGTATTTGCGAATGCATCATGGAGCTGGCCACTGTGCAGAACCGGGAGGACAGATGATGCCCCAAATAGCAAGTTCCGCCAATTTCTGTATGTCCTTGCGTTGAGCCAAGTCATTCATTTGAAGAAACGTAGGGCAGACCTTCTTGGATCACCGGGAAGCTTGCTCCTGGGGCTTTTTTGTTCACACCTTTGTAGTGTTATTATTATAGTCTCACAGTGTCTCAGGAAAGCACGGACACTACAGTGAACGCCTCTTCAATACAAAACTTCTCCATTCTCCCTGCTCCCCTTCTTATGGACTTTAGAAGAGTTTGGGCTGGTTTGGCTATGCTAGTGCTAAGCTAATGTTTACTGTCATCCAGGTGCTTCTTCAGTCATGTGCAGAGATCTGGACTCTGAGCTTTGCACAAATGAAATATTAACTTTAGACGCTTCAAAACTACGTAGATCTGGGTTAAAATGTGGTTTTACTAACAATCCGCTAAAGACCAATACATGAAAGTCCTACTTTAAACCTGCTTTAGACCTGGTTCAGTCCTGCTTTAGACCTGGTTCAGTCCTGCTTTAGACCTGGTTCAGTCCTGCTTTAGACTTTGTTCAGTCCTGCTTTAGACCTGGTTCAGTCCTGCTTTAGACCTGGTTCAGTCCTGCTTTAGACTTTGTTCAGTCCTGCTTTAGACCGGCTTTCGAGCTGCTTCACTCCTGGTTTCTTGTCTCAGTTGAAAGTTTTGGCATTGGACTCAGAGCTCCGGATTCTCTATGAAGACAAAGTCCAATTTGACTCAGACCTCCCAGAGTTCAGGTGAGCCAAAATACCAGAAACTCAGCTTCTCAGAGTCATGTTCTAGTCTCTGTTGTGCGTGGTTTGTGCCTCAGGACTCAGGGCGGGGTCCACATCCAGGAGGACAGACTGACCGTGACCTCACCCACGCTCATGTGGGTCCAGGTACGTGTTCAACCTCCGAGACCCTGCGACCTCATACGAGGACATTACATGTTGTGCCTCTTGGCACAATGATACTAAATTTTTTACATCCTTGACCTGATGGCCACATTTAGGGACACTGCCCGCGCCATCTTGTGGTGATATGATAGAATTACACTTAAGGCAGTAGGAAAAAAATGTGGCAATATCAGCAAAAGACTTCTACAAGAGTTTACAGAAGAAAAATGCCCCCAGTAAAAATTCTATCAACATTTTATGAATGAAATCAATTTTTTTATGCACAATAATGTCTCTAGCTTCATATGGAGTTTGAAATTTGACAAATTTTTGATTGTAGTAGCACTAGGATGTCAGTAAAAGTGAAGCACTCGTTTGAGGACGCTAGGACTATGTACCGCTATCTGTTTAGCTAACCGTGTGGAAGATAGCTAGGCTATAGCTAGCACATGATAGCCAAGCTATGAAGTGTCACTGATATACTGTAGATTTTGATGTTGGTTTTTAACATTATCATTACAGGCACACTTTCATTGTCAAGAGCAGAACAATTGCTGTTGGCAATTGCAGACAACTCTGAGATAGAGGACTTCTCAGATGGGGATGATTGTATCATCATCTCATACCTGTCAGTCATCTTCTGGTGTTTCCCACGGGGAGAGGCGGCGAGCTGGGGTGGCCATACTCATTGCCCCCCATCTCAGCCGCCATGTGTTGGAGTTCTCCCCGGTGAATGAGAGGGTCGCGTCCCTCCGCCTCCGGGTGGGACAAGTTCTCCCATTGTTGTGACGGCCTACGGGCCTAACGGCAGTGCCGAGTTCCTGCCTTCTTGGAGTCCTTGGGAGGGGTACTGGACGGTGCACCTCCCGGGGACTCCGTTATTCTCCTGGGGGACTTCAACGCCCATGTGGGAAATGCCAGTGACACTTGGAGAGGGGTGATCGGGAAGAACGGCCCCCCTGATCTGAACCCGAGCGGTGTTCAGTTGTTGGACTTCTGTGCCAGTCACGGTCTGTCCATCACGAACACCATGTTCGAGCACAAGGGTGTCCACCAGTGCACGTGGCACCAGGACACCCTAGGCCGGAGGTTGATGATCGACTTTGTTGTCGTATCATCTGACCTTCGACCGCGTGTCTCGGACACTTGGGTAAAGAGAGGGGAGGAGCTGTCAACCGATCATCACCTGGTCGTGAGTTGGATCCGCTGGCAGGGGAAGAAGCCGGTCAGACCTGGCAGACCCAAGCGTATAGTGAGGGTCTGCTGGGAACGTCTCGCTGAGCCCCCTGTCAGACGGACTTTCAACTCACACTTCCGGGAGAGCTTCTCCCAGGACCCAGAGGAGGGGGACATTGAGTCCGAGTGGACCATGTTCTCTTCCTCTATCACCAATAAAGCGGCTCGTAGCTGTGGTCGCAAGGTCTCTGGTGCTGGGTCCCGGCGGCAATCCCCGAACCCGGTGGTGGACACCGGCAGTAAGGGATGCCGTCAGGCTGAAGAAGGAGTCCTATCGAGCAATGATGGTTTGTGGGACTCCGGAGGCAGCTGTCCAGTACCGGCAGGCCAAGCGTGCCGCGGCCCGGGCTGTTGCAGAGGCAAAAACCCGACACTGGGAGGAGTTCGGAGAGTCCATGGAGCATGACTATCGGTCGCCCTCAAAAAGGTTATGGCAAACCCTCCGGCGCCTCAGGAGGGGGAAGCAGTGCTTTGCCAACACCGTGTATGGTGCGGGTGGAGAGCTGCTGACCTCGACTGGGGATATTGTAATCCTAACTCTAACCCGGAGATGGTAGCCTTGAAAAACCCCATGCGTTGCAGAGCACAAGACTGCATTGGAAAATCCTGTGTCCGATGCATGACATGCAATGTGTACCTGTGCTTGCAAAGTGAATGCAACTGCTTTGCAGCATTTCACACTTGCCAATAGGGCTCTTCCAAACAGGCAGACAGATTGCTTTCTAGAAAAAGAGAGGGAGCTAGTTTGAAAAAAGCCCCGGTTCATAAGCTGTTCAGCAGAATTTTACTGTTTTAGGACTGTTAATAATATTTGCCATTATTTGTTCTAGTATTGTATTTATCAATTCAATTCAGCCATATTGAAGGCTTGAAATAGACAGTTTACACAGTATTTTGCGGTTTTATTTATGTATAGCCAATTTTTTGTCATGTGGATGAATGAAGAAAAAGGGAACCCAAATTGCAGGACTGAAAATCAAAGTAATTTAATAAAATAAATCCAAGGTAATGTAAAAACAGAACTGAAGACAGGACAAACATTGTGGAGACAATGGACGGACAACAAGTGAGGAAGGGCACAGGGTATATACACACACACAGGGACACACAGGGACACACAGGTGAATCACATTAGGGCGGGGCAACAATCAACAGGACAGGCAGGATTCAAACTCAACCAGGTCAAAATGTCCACACCATGACATTTTTAGGCTTTGAAGATAGAGCTGTTTGGATTTTATGTCTAACTTTGATGTTTACATTTTTCAAATAAAACTGTTATATACTATTTTAGACCAATGGAGTCTATTTGTATTGTATAGTAAGGTCGACCCACTGTCCTCATGTGAGGACATTGATTTTTGAGAGAAGTACTAATTGGATCAAGCTGAAATTTTGAATTTCAACTAATTAGGACCTTCCGGCCTAAAAGATCATACATTTTCTCTTTAGGTTATGAGAGACCCACTGTCCTCATACGAGGACATGTTTTTTCTCAAAAACTACTTCCTGTACAAAATCACAATTTAGGTATTATACTTATTGGGTCCTACTTATCCTAAATAGCAAAAAAATATATAAAATGCACACCAGACAAATGCTCGGGTCTCAGGAGGATAAGTAGCCCAGGGAATTTACTCATGTTTTATGCACTTGTTTTTACCTGAAGGAGTTTTATTTACAACTATCAACGATACTTTAAAGAAAAAAATGTCCTTTATATACATTTGTTATGGATATGCTTATACTGAAAAATATAAAACATGCAAAATGGATGTGAAAAAAAGATTTATGGAGAAATACTGGACTTTTACTTGTGGTTTAAGGTGACTTTGAGGGAAAACTTATGGGTAATATAGTCTCTGCCCTCTGTGGTCTCTGAAGTACCGGTCAGAGACAGCAAGTACCGGTCACAGACCCTAAGTACCGGTCACAGACCGCAAATACCGGTCACAGACCCTAAGTAGCGGTCACAGACCCTAAGTACCGGTCACAGACAGACCCTAAGTACCGGTCACAGACAGACCCTAAGTAGCGGTCACAGACCCTAAGTACCGGTCACAGACCGCAAGTACCGGTCACAGACCCTAAGTACCGGTCACAGACCGCAAGTACCGGTCAGAGGCCGTAAGTACCGGTTACAGACCGCAAGTACCGGTCACAGACCGCAAATACCGGTCACAGACCCTAAGTACCGGTCACAGACCGCAAGTACCGGTCATAGACAGACCGCAAGTACCGGTCAGAGGCCGCAAGTACCGGTCACAGACTGTAAATACCGGTCACAGACCGCAAGTACCGGTCACAGACTGTAAATACCGGTCACAGACTGCAAGTACCGGTCAGAGGCCGTAAGTACTGGTCAGATTAAACCTGGGATTTCAACATTGTTTCAATGTCCATTGTATTTCAAATCCCATTGAAGTCCTGTTGATCTGTAGGTATGATTTAAACGTTGCTTCAGTGATAACAGAGGATGCAACATGACGAAGAATCAACATCAGAGTTCCACGTTGATTCAACTATTTTATCCTTGACAGCAGGATGTTGATTTCTATTTGCCATCTGGGCAGAGACCGTAAGTACCGTTCAGGGACCGTAAGTACCCACTTAAAGCCAGTGTGTCTCTGACACTTCTGGGACCAACACAAACTCTTCCTCTGTGGTTTACTGTGGTTTACATTTGTTTGTTGCAGAGTCAGGACTGGGAAACAACTTGATCCCATTTCACAAACTGGTTTCAGGAATGAGTCAAACGTAACTGATGAAACTACACTGTAAAAACTGACTACACTGTAAAAAGTGACACAATACAAAGTAATAAATTCTTCAATCAAGTCTTTTTTATCTTAATTTCAGCAGATTTTGACTTTCTTAAAACAAGAGTTTCCAATGGAACAAGTCATTTAGTCTTATTTCAAGAACTGTTGCACTGTTTGTCTTATTCTAAGAACGATATTTCTTAAATTGTCTTGTATCTTTTGAAAACAAAACGTTTTTTCTTGTTCCATTGGGTTATAGTATAGTTTAATAATATTAATACTGATCTACTTTTTAAGAAAGTTAAATATACTGAAATCAAGATAAGAATTCTTGATTCAAGCTTTTATATCCTCATATTGTATCATTTTTTGCAGTGTGATTCTGACTAGTGACCAAAGAGAAACCAAAAACAAAACATCAATAATCATAAAAGGAACTAGACTGAATTAATGTGCTGTGGTTTGTAGACGATATAAAAATATCCAGTTTAGTTTCATGTCATGGTTTTACACTAATATTATATTACATTATTCTGGGATTAAAGCCTTTAGACGTAAACATCTGTGAGCTCTGGGTCCATGTCGTCATGAGTTTATATTTCACTGAAATGGAACAAACTTCTGTTCAAAAACATCAAACTAAAGGAAAGAGTTTTAATAAACTTTATAAACAAGTGAACAACAGTGTTTTTAGGGACTGGATGATTATCATTGTTATACTAGTTTCTTTCTGCTAATGCTAATGCTAATGTAGTGTTTGAGCCCCTGAAGATGTTTGTGAGTGATTCATGTTCTCACCAAATGTTATGATTATTTATTGGAAATAGAAAACCATGGATTTATATGAACGTTATTATTAATTTTCTTTCCCTCCATGATCGACAAGTGACCCCAGCCTCAGGCACCTTTCTCAATTATGCTTTTGAAATCAAAATAAATATTTATGTAAGTCTCTGTTTAGAGTCCATAAGGACTGAAATGGTTGGATTTGTGTTATATTTGTCTTTCATAATATTCTATATAATCCTGTTCAGAGTCCTGTTTATTTATTTATTTGATATGGACACAACAGTTCCATTGGACAGACCAGATGCCTTTAGTGTTAGAGCAAGACCAGGCTAATGTTCAACACTTGTCCATAGAAAGCTTTTAGGAGACAAATGCACACATTTAAAATGTGTAAATATAAAAGTAATAAAATATACAGTTCATTAATCATGTGAACAGCGTTTCGATTTCAGCCACAGTTTCAGACGAAGATGTTTAAGTTTGTTTGTAGTTTTAGGTCAGTGGGAAGAGCGTTCCACAGTTTGGCTCCATTGAAGGAAAACATGTAAAGATCTAAAGTCTAATGTTCCAAACGTCTCCAGTTCAGTCTGAAGCTGAGCACAAACACAAAGACTGGGTGGAGTTTAGGATCCTGTGATTACAGCCTTCTGTCCCATAGAGATAGATCCACGATATTCACTCATTCAGTCACGATGAAGCGAGGTCCAGTCCCACACAAGACCAGGAAACAGATCAGTCAGACTTTTATTTTCAAATTGGTCAAAATCCAAAAAACAAATTTCATAAATCCAAATTTGATTGATGTATTTATTTAGTTTAGTTCTATATTTATTTGACCGGGCAGAACATGTCAATGACCATACATCTACACGTCAGATTGCAGTCGCAGGAGGATTATGGTGGAATATCATAAAGTTCTGTCTTTGTAAATGACAATATTTTTCTTGTATTGAAAGTGTTGTAGATTTTAAACTGGACTAAAAAGTGAAAGTACTGAGGTTCAGACATTAGTTTAGTAACTTCACAGATCATACTTTAGTCTTTCTCTGATTCTACAGCTTCATGTAATAAATATCTTTCTCACATCATTTATCTCAAATGGTACAGAGCTGTCTTGTGTTGCTTTTTCATGTGTTTCTGTCCATGTTTTAATAAAATGCTTTTATTTCACAAAGAGAAAAGTCTGTGTCATACACTTTGTTGATTCCAAATGCACCCTTTAAGCACATTTTGTCTTTGGAGGATGTAGAGAGCTCCACTAATGTTTAACACGAAATAATGTGTTTTTAGCACCGCTTCTGGGATATTAGTTATTGTGTTATTAACAGTTCACTCACTGTGGCCTCTGGGGCAGCTTTGGCCTCCGAGGCTGCTGTGGCGTCTGGGACAGCTGTGGCCTTCAGGGCGGCTGTGGCCTCTGGGGCAGCTGTGGCCTCCGAGGCTGCTGTGGCATCTGGGACAGCTGTGGCCTCCAGGGCGGCTGTGGCCTCTGGGGCGGCTGTGGCGGCTGTAACGTCCAGGGGGCCTTGGGCGTCCGGGGTGGCCGTGGCCTCCGGAGCGGCCGTGACCTCAGAGCTTAGATCCTGCTGTTAATCAACCGTCCCGGAGCAAACTCCAGTGTTGTGTTCTCACTTTGCCGCTTCATTCACCTCTTGTTTGTCGGAGGTTTTGTGTGTTTGATCGTCCCGTCAGCTTTGGGCGTCACTGCCGTCACATTTATTACCAAGACAACGTAAAGGTTAACGTCATGGAAAATGAATGCATCCTTTAGTTTAGTCCAACTTTGTAGTCCTTTAAACTCTGATTAGATTAGGTCCCATTACGGAGCCTTGGGGAGCTCCATGTGTCACACTCATATCTGAATCTACATTGTTCATTTGCACATTCTGTTCTCTGCCCCAATAATAACTATAATAACTCATGAGCAGTACCTTCCTGGATCTACAGCCTCAGTCCTGGGTCTACAGCCTCAGTCCCAGATCTACAGCATCAGTCCTGGATCTACAGCCTCAGTCCTGGGTCAGTCCTGGGCCTAGAACCTCAGTCCTGGGTCTACAGCCTCAGTCCTGGGTCTACAGCCTCAGTCCTGGGTCCACAGCCTCAGTCCTGGGTCTACAGCCTCAGTCCTGGGTCTACAGCCTCAGTCCTGGGTCTACAGCCTCAGTCCTGGATCTACAGCCTCAGTCCTGGGTCTACAGCCTCAGTCCTGGATCACTTTTCCTCCTACACTGGAGGAGGAATACACTGCATATGCTTAGAAGGTTCTGTTAATAATTTGAAGAATGCAAAACATATACTCATGAGTTTAACAAAGGAAAAAGCAACACAGGAAAACCTTAAATCAGCAAATATCTGACCACAGCAAACAAGAATCATCAGGGACTGGGACGAGGCACAAGCCGTAAACTGTGTGTGTCCGGGAACAACAGCTGATAAGAGACACACTGTGTCATCCAACACTTCAGAGTTGAATTAACTTTATGTGTGTGTCTGTGTGCGTGTGAGTGTGTAAGGCATCAGGACCAGATAACATCAGCTCCAGGCTCCTTCGCTCCTGTGCAGACGAACTCTGTGGAGCGTCTTCAACCTGAGCCTCAAGCTGATGGCGGTACCACAGCTCTGGAAGACCTCCTGTGTGGTACCGGTGCCCAAGAAACCACGGGCCAAAGACCTCAGCGACTTCAGGCCAGTGGCTCTAACATCCCACTGCATGAAGACACTGGAGAGACTGGTCCTGGGACATCTCCGCTCCACTCTGAGCCCAGCGATGGACCCGCTGCAGTTCGCCTACAGGCCGGGCATCGGAGTCGAGGACGCCATCATCTCCCTCCTCCATCGCTCTCTGTCCCACCTGGAGAAACCCGGCTCCACTGTGAGGATCCTCTTCTTTGATTTCTCCAGTGCCTTCAACACCATCCAGCCGCGGCTTCTCAGGGACAAGATGGAGACAGCCGGTGTGGACTACGACCTGTCCCAGTGGATCCTGGACTACCTCACAGACAGACCCCAGTTTGTGAGAACCAGGGACTGGTCCTGACCTGCAGTGTGGGGGCCCCCCAGGGGACAGTCCTCGCGCCGTTCCTCTTCACCCTCTACACCGGTACAACTGACGGTTGTGTCCTCCAGAAGTTCTCCGACGACTTTGCCATCATCGGACTCAGCTCCGAGGACGATGACACAGAGTACAGAGGAGTTATACAGAACTTTGTGGACTGGTGTCAGCGGAACCACCTCCACATCAACGCGGGGAAGACCAAGGAGATGGTGATGGATTTCCGCAGACGTCACTCTGCCACTCCAGCTCCAGTGAACATCCAGGGAAAGGACATCGAGAGAGTGGACTCTTACAAGTACCTGGGTGTTCATCTGAACCACAAACTGGACTGGACTCATAACACAGACGCCCTCTTCAAGAAGGGCCAGAGTCAGCTCTACCTGCTGAGGACGCTTAGGTCTTTTGGAGTGCAGGGGCCACTCCTGAAGACCTTCTATGACTCTGTGGTGGCATCAGCCATCTTGTACGGTGTGGTCTGCTGGAACAGCAGCATCACAGGAAGGTCATCAGGAAGTGCAGCTCAGTCCTGGGCTGTTCCCTGGACACAGTGCAGCAGGTGGGGGACAGGAGGGTCCTGAGCAAACTAACATCTATGCTGGACCATGACTGTCACCCCCTGCAGGACACTCTCTCTGCTCTGGAGAGCAGTTTCAATGACAGACTAATTCACCCTCGCTGTGTGAAGGAGAGGTTCCGTAGGTCTTTCCTTCCTGCTGCTGTCAGACTGTACAATAAGAACTGCTGAGCCTGTAAATTTAATTCATCTGTAATTAAGTAAATTCTTAAATCATGTGCAATGTGCAATACTGCAACTTCAGGATGTCACAGAACAATGTCACTTTACCTCATGTCACTTTACTTATATACTTTTTATCCTGCACTATTTAACTGTACAGTATATAACTGCACTACTACATATATATTTTGACTGGTATTGAAGCATTTTCAGCATCTACAGCTAGTTATGTTAGCTAAGAAACATAGCTACTACTTATTTGTATATAATGTGTGTGATCCCTGTGTGCTCTTACTACTCTCCTATATGTGCGATGCAACATCAAAATTTCCCCACTGTGGGACAAATGAAGGAATTCTTATCTTATCTTATGAGTGATGCCATCCATCCTTCCATTTTCTTCCCCTTAATCCATTTCGGGGTCAGGGGGTGGCAGTCAGAGCTGCACCCAGTACACAGAGCACCAGCCCCTCACTGATCTTCCTGCAGGTGGTGAGTCCACAGGAGCTGAGATCTTTCAGTGAGGGCTTCAGGCAAAGTGGGGTTAAGTCTCTTGCACAAGGACACAACAACAGCAAACATCAGTGGGAGTCGTGAAGTAGGTATTGTGGTGAGCTCAAACCCACGACCTTCAGGCTCAAAGGTCAATGCTCTACCAACTGAGCCACAGTTGCCATCAGTGGCTCAGTTGAGTGATGCTATCCCTAGTATTCACTTATATGTATATGTGTGCTCCTAACCCTAAGCCTGTTATACGTCACTTTGTTTGTGATGACTTTGGGTTGAACAGAATTAACTTTAGAACGATATTCTACTTTTCTGAGTTACACCTGTAAACTGGGGAAACATTTTACTTTCCATTTGCAGTAAAACCCCATTTGAATACATCCGCAAAAGTCCCCAGTGTGCAGCAGACAAGTCCATACATAAAACAGGGTTAAAAGAACAGGATAAACAAACAAAACATACACATTTGTCACTGAAAGGACAGATTCTGCTCAGTTTGGATCATTTAAACTGTATTTTTCCTGCGTCACATGCTTTGTATCTAAACGTCCCACTGACTCTTTTCCGTCACCAATGGGAAAGAACAACCTCTGTTTCTCTTTGTCTTTTCAAAAATGACTCTGTTCCTCTCACGGTGCGTCCAGCTCGGATCCAAACGCTCTTCCTCTTTTCTCCTCATTTCCTGTTGGCTGCAGCCATCGCTCTCAGGGCCATGTGCATCCTGTCGCCTGCTTTTTCCGTTTAGGGTTTGTTCCTGGTTTGTTGTGGGACGGAGACACGAAGGACAAGATGGAAGACAGAGAGAGTACAGAGAGAGGACAGAGAGAGGACAGGACGGAGAGACGGAGGACAAGATGGAGGACAGAGAGAGGACAGAGAGAGGACAGGACGGGGACAGAGTCTTTCTTCTTGTAAATCACTGAGTCAGAAATGTTGTGTGTCACATTAATGTCCTGTGTAAAAATCCACTTCTTTCAGATCAATTCAGTTCGTTTAAAGTGTAATAATCACGAGGGAAATGGACCGAGGAATAAAAACCACAAAGAATTTAAAAATATGTAGAAAAGTGAAAACAAATCGATGAACTATAACCAGCTGTGTGTCGTTTCTGCTGTATTTGTGTGTAGTCTTTTATGAAACCTGAGTGTGTGTGTGTGTGTGTGTGCGTGCGTGCGTGCGTGCGTGCGTGTGTGTGTGTAGGACTGAGATCCAGGAATGAATGTTTGATGTGACCTTGAGTCCAAACAAATGTAACTTTGTGTCTTTTGTGTGAAATTACTGTAATTCACTCAAGTATTATTATTACATTATTATTACATTATTACTACATTATTACTACATTATTATTATTATTACATTATTATTACATTATTACTACATTATTATTACATTATTACTACATTATTATTACATTATTATCACATTATTACTACATTATTATTACATTATTACATTATTACTACATTATTATTACATTATTACTACATTATTATTACATTATTACTACATTATTACTACATTATTATTACATTATTACTACATTATTATTACATTATTACTACATTATTACTACATTATTATTACATTATTACTACATTATTATTACATTATTACTACATTATTATTACATTATTACTACATTATTATTACATTATTACTACATTATTATTACATTATTACTACATTATTATTACATAATTATTACATTATTATTACATTATTATTATTACATTATTACATACATTATTATTATTATATTATTACTACTTTTATTACTACATTATTATTACATTATTATTACATTATTACTACATTATTATTACATTATTATGACATTATTACTACATTATTATTACATTATTACTACACGGTGGCTGAGTGGATAGCACTCTCGCCTCTCAGCAAGAAGGTCCTGGGTTCGAATCCCGGTTGGACCAGGGCCTTTCTGAGTGGAGTTTGCATGTTCTCCCCGTGTCTGCGTAGGTTTCCTCCGGGTGCTCCGGTTTCCCCTACCACTAAAAATATGTACAATAGGTATGGCATGTGCCTCCTGTACTGGCACCCCCACCCAACAATTGTAAACCGCTTTGAGACTCCGATGTGCAGTGAAAAGGCGGTATATAAATAAAGCTTACTACTACTACTACTTACATTATTATTACATTATTATTACATTATTACTACATTATTATTACATTATTATTACATTATTACTATATTATTATTACATTATTATATTATTACTACATTATTATTACATTATTATTACATTATTACTACATTATCCATCCATCCATCCATTTTCTACCCTTTAATCCATTTCTGGGTCAGGGGGGTGGCAATCAGAGATGCCACCCAAGTCTCATAGCACCAGCCCCTCACTGACCCTCTGCAGGTGGTGAGTCCACAGGAGGACGGCTGCTCACTGAGTGTGAGCATAGCCTTGATCTTTCAGTGGGGGCTTTTGGGCAAAGTGGGGTTAAGTGTCTTGCCCAAAGACACAACATTTTAGACACAAAGACACAACATTGGTAATAAATATTACTACATTATTATTACCAATCCTCATGTTGGTGGAGCATTGACCTTTGAGCCTGAAGGTCATGGGTTCAATCCCACCACAAGACTTTCTCCACCGACTCCCACTGTCTGCTGTAGTTGTGTCCTTTTGCAAGACACTTCACCTCTGGGAACAGCAGGTGCCACAGTGGATGTGTTGTTACTATTGCAACAACACATCATCAGTAGGGTAAAACTAACCTGTCTCACGACGGTCTAACCCAGCACACGTTCCCTATTAGTGGGTGAACGATCCAAGGCTGTAAAGTGCCGAAATGCCGTTGTGTCCTTTGGCAAGACACTTCCCCCACATTAGAATGAGTCTGGTGTGTGTGTGAATGGTTGGTGGTGGTGGGAGTTGCCGATGGCACATACTGGTTGCCTCGCTTCTGTCAGTGTGCCCCAGGGCAGCTGTGGCCACAGTAGTAGTTTATCACCACCGTGTATGGAGTGAATGAATAATGATGTGAAGAGACTTTGAGCGTCTGAAAACCAATGCATTATTATTTTTATCATTATTATTATTATTATTATAATCATACACTGAGATAAAAAATATGTTCAACATGTGCTTTGATAAATATTTTTAAATGCATTTTATAGTTCAATCTAATCATTTATAGAATTGTGAGCAAGGACAAATGGACTCTTTTCTCCACTTGACAGACGTTTTATTTTAATTTTAAAACACGTTTAAAGATCACACTCAGTCTCTCCACTATTGCCTTTATCTGTCGTAAGTGTCTAACCCTTGTTCAGATGGTGTCATTGGATCCGGAGAGGCCCCGTACTGTACTATTGTGCCTGGACTAGAAAAGCATAAGGATCAAGACCAAGATACGAAGCTGTAGTAACTCTCCCGCTCTTCTTCTTCTCTGTCCAAAACCAGGAAAGTCTAAACAAACACCTGTTACAGTAAAGTATGCAGAGGTGAAATCTCTGTTCCCCTGTCAGTCCTGCCTCGGTGACTCTGACATTAACTCTTGTTTGTGTTTACCAGAAGAAACCTGACAAAGGCCACGCTCTGGAATTCACCACAGACTTTAGAGGAAGTTTTCCATCCGCTGTTGACGCAGAAACACCTGCGGGATTAGAACCTGGTGAAAGTAGAATCCCAATTGTGTTCTCAACTTAAATGGGAAGTAGCGTCAACATTAACAGGAGATGAATGGGACTGGAGCTAACTTGAGAAGAGAGCCTGAATCTGTGTTTGTAGTTATGAAAACCATGTGATTTTGGAATAAAACACATTTAAATCATGTCTCACTTCCAGACAGCTGATGATGGATGTTTGTGAACAGGTTTTTGTTCGTGTGACATCACAACATTCCAAGGAGCCAAGTTTAAAATTATGTTTGAGTAAAAACATCTTTCCTGGTCACAAGTCAAACAGTCAAAAGTTAGAGTTCTAGTATTTTGTAAGACATTAAAAGTTGTAAAATCTCTGAGATGATGCTGTTGTGATTCAGGGAGAGACAAGAATAAATTGTATTGTTTTGTAATGTTTTATTGTGTTATTTTTCTGTCATTGAAAACTCTTGGACAGGTCTCCCTCGAAAACCAGATCTTTATCCTTCCTGGTTAGATAAAGACTTAGACTTAGACCAGACATGTCCAAACTCAGGCCCAGGGGCCAATTGTGGCCCTCAGTGTCACTGTATGTGGCCCTCTGCCTTGATATCTTGAGCTCAGACAATATAGACCTTGTTCTAAATCCCAGTCTAGGATTAAGTGCTGAGTTTATTTGCACAAACTTTACTGACGTATTTTTTTATTGTGTCACAAACTTCCGTTAATGTTGCTAATGAAACTGGTGAGATGGTGAACATGTGTCATTCAGCCAACTCCAGCTCTATTATAGATCATCATAAAGCTACGAACAGCCTGTGGCCAGTCAAGTTCTTGAGTCTGTGATGTTGGCCCCTGGACTAAAGTGGCCTCTTACTAAAAAGTCTGGACACCCGTGACTTAAGACAGACTTTATTCATCCAGAAGGAAATTATCACAGGTAAAACATATTGGGTTCAGCTAATTCCTCTGTTTTCTCGAACCAATCCCATTGACAAAAAACTGTCACAAAGTTTGAAAATTTTCCTGTCATGTTTTGGAAAAATCTTCAAACCCATGCAAAATGTTACAGTAGAAAATACTTCCAGCTTCTTTCACTCTTCACTCTCTGATGATGTAGTGACATTATCCTGTTTCCAGTATTTTCTCTGCCACTTGATCGCCACTTCTTAAATCTTAAGTTCCTCCATTCCCAGTTTGCACTTCTCCCTGATGCCTGGAAAACTTGGACTAAGCGTGCCCCGGGCCCTCATGTATTCATCTCTGTTCAGATCAGTGCAGGGGGGTGTCCTGTTCCTCAGTCACCAAGAAGGAATTTACAGCCCTCCAAAGAGAAAAGTAGCTGGAGGGTAACTCTGTCACACCTCCCCCCGTGTTTCCACCCGACTGTCAACCATCCCGCTCTGAAAAGGGCTAGAACAAAGAGCACATGAGCCGCTCTGTGCTCACGTCTCTGTCAGCTCCAGCTAAAGGTAAACATCGGCCCCGCGCTGTATTTAACAAACACCACCTATAGGGGTCCGGGCCCAACCCTCATCAGTCAGAATACATGACACTTCCAGTTTGGTAATGGATCAGGTTACGGTTCTTGGATTGAACATTATTATCATATTATTGTACATAATTATATCCTGCACAGACTATATTTTTCACACTTCTGTCTTTGCACAAATCTGATTCTGTCTGTGCCAAATGTGACATCAGAGATCAATGAAGTTTATCTTATCCTATCTTATTTGTATAATTATTGTCATCATTATTATTACAACTGCAACTCATGGTTATTTCAAAAAGCACCATTTTGAGTTCCCCCGTGTATGAATTGTGCTATATAAATAAGCTTGCTGCCACTACAAATAAACTCTGTATGCAAACCTCTCAGTGTCATCCAAACAGAATACAATTTCTACATGACTTCATTTCCAGAAACGTGGCTTCCCACAAATGAGTCCTTACATTTTCTTACACATTTTGATTTGGTTTATTTTCGGTTATTTTTCTATTTTGAACAAACCATACAATTGCAAAAAAAAACCAATAAAATAAACTCCAGTTGGGGTTGCCCTAAAATCTAATTTTCAAGCATTTCCAGTACAGTATGTTTTAGGATGAGCTCCCTACAATTCATAAAAACAAGAGGAAATACCAGTAAATTTGGAAATATCGGCCATTTTGATTCAACATTTTTTTTACAATTACAAAATCTGAATAACAATCGACTTTCAAACCAAGCGGACTTTTACACCTGTAGGTTTGAAATACATGAATAAACAAACATTGCATCTCTCATAAACACCTAAAAAATATTAAAATCTAAAAACAATACTATATTTACACCTCTTGTATTGGACCAAAGCAGCCTGTCAGTTTCCCATGATGCTCTTGGCTGCTGTGGCCGCAGTGGGAGGCCCTAAGTGTCTCCAGGGGCATCGGTCACTACTGTTTGCACCTTTGGGAGACAGATTCCAGTCGGTGGCGTATTAAACCTTTACAGCCTCCTAAACGCTCATAAAGAGCGGGTCCTTTTGCTGAACGGTGTTTTCTCATGCCTCAGCGCTGCATCTCCAGGACCCGCCGCTGTTGTTTGGACACTTCCTACAGCTGCAGAGAGCGGCTGTGGATGGAGCCACCTGGCCCAGCGTGCGTCATCCCAGTCATGTGCATCTGGTTTCCTTATATTGTGTTCCAGCTCCTGCGATGCTTAAAGCTACATCTGTGGAGTCTCTGGGGACAACATCAGGGACGACAGAACGTTACAGTAAAGGTCGGAGCGTTTCCTTTGAGTTAGGATCTGGATGTGAAGTCAGGTTTTAGAAAGCATTGAAAAGTATTATTATACACATGGTCTTGTTCACACTAAAGGTGCAAAAGTGGGAGGAAAGCCAAACCTTAGATTTTAATAATCAGAAGTTAAATTGTGTTTTACATTTATCCAAATCCCTCTTGAAGGCCCCTGGACTCTGTGGAGGAGGTGAGGGACAAGAGGCCCCTGGACTCTGTGGAGGAGGTGAGGGACAGAAGGCCCCTGGACTCTGCGGAGGAGGTGAGGGACAAGAGGCCCCTGGACTCTGTGGAGGAGGTGAGGGACAGAAGGCCCTGGACTCTGCGGAGGAGGTGAGGGACAAGAGGCCCCTGGACTCTGTGGAGGAGGTGAGGGACAGAAGGCCCCTGGACTCTGCGGAGGAGGTGAGGGACAGAAGGCCCCTGGACTCTGCGGAGGAGGTGAGGGACAAGAGGCCCCTGGACTCTGTGGAGGAGGTGAGGGACAGAAGGCCCCTGGACTCTGCGGAGGAGGTAAGGGACAAGAGGCCCCTGGACTCTGTGGAGGAGGTGAGGGACTAGTCAAAGTCACCTCCATCATGAACAATACCTCCCAGCCACTGCACAGGACTGTAGAGGAGCTGAGGAGCTCCTTCAGTGGAAGACTGAGACACCCTCAGTGCAAGAAGGAGCGCTACCGCAGGGCCTTTATCCCCACCGCTGTCAGACTGTACAACAAGTCACTTGCATTAGGACTAAAAACCTGCACTACTATTGATACTGTTTCTTGATTGCCACTTTTTATTGTACATAACATATCCTGCATTTAACATGTTGCACATTTCTTTCTTTTCACAATCTGAGTGATTCTATCCATGCCTGAGATCAATAAAGTCTATCTTATCTTAACAGTTTATCTGTGTTGGACCTGATCCTTTGAATGAGCTGAAGTTTGAAACACATTTTTGAAAGTCATTTACATTTGATTACACATGATTATTTTTAGTATAACATTTTAAACGCTAAGTGCTAAGTGTACTGGGTGCAGCTCTGACTGCCACCCCCCCGACCCAGAAATGGATTAAGGGGAAGAAAATGGATGGATGGATGGATTTTAAACGCAGTGATTTCCTGATGTTGTTAATGTGAATCTGTGGAGTTTGTCCCTGAGTCACAGAATGATCCAATCAGAGGCTGATCTGGGTTTTAAATGTACGTAATGTATTTGTCAATCTTTCCTCTTGATTTTATCCACACTTTCTCTTTGATCTGTCTGGGTTTGAAATCCTTTCTCTAATCTATGAGGGTAAATTTAGTTTTTGAGTTATAACCTTTTAAAATCCAGATACTGAACACTTTACTATGAACACACCCATATAGAGGATTGTTCAGATTGATTTCAAAAGCATTAAATATTAAAGGAGTCTTGTTTACAGAATGTCTGAAATCCTTGAAACTAAGTCACGTGAGATTAAATATATAGTATTTTGGGCTTTTTCCAAATCCAGGAATGTTTTATTTTATGACAGATCCGTGTGTCGTCGGCTCCATCTCCAAACTCGTGCCAAAACATGTTCCACGTCAGTGGAATTACAGTCTATTTACCAAAGGGCTTCATCTTTAACTCTGACTTCACTGAAGGTTCTTGTTCTGCTCTAGTTTTAGTGCGTGATGTAAAATGCATCAGAGAAAAGTTAAAAAATATGTGGATTTTATTTACACAAAGAATTATGAAAATGTAAAGAAGTATTTACAGAGAAAGTCTGAGCGACAGGTGCAAATATCAACAAAACTGATATTCAAGTCTTTTCATAAATCACACATGACTCTTTCTAAAGTCAGACCTGGGTCATTTGTAAACATTCACTGCACAAGTTAAAACAACTTCAGTAATAACATTCACTCATTTAACGACAGATTTAAATATTACAAAATAAAAGTAATCAAGAAATCAGTCCATGGCAAGTTCAAGTTAAAGACCATTTTTAAACACAATATAAAAGGTAGTACCTCTGTGATGAAAGATGGAGAGGTGGCAGAAAAGGATGAAATATAAGGAAATAAACCATGTGGTTTTTATATTTTCAAATAGTTTTTAACAACAAGAAACAAGTCCTGTCATTTCTCTTATCTTCTTTCTTTAAAAGGAGCTATACCCGATTTATTTTCTAATGAGTTCATAAAAAGGCAAGTTGTATTATAATCCGTAATTTAATGTAAAACTTGAGCTCATTGATTCAGCTGTGTATGAATTCCGGCCGTATAAAGTGATGAGTAAAGACTTAGCGTGACGCCCGCTCTCCTCCACGCTGTTGCTTTGTTCCATTTCATCAGTGATCGTTGTGTAGCTTACAAGAAGTAGCATATAGATCACAAATAAAACTAGATGGCTCCGTGGGAGGAGAGCGTAGAGGAAATGAGAAGCCTGTGAGCGAGTTGGGGGCGGGGCTAAACATTCAAACCTTGCAGAAACGGGTATACTGTAGCTCCTTTAAGTTTCTAATGTCACAGGAACAAGAAATTTTTGCTTGTCCCACTTGTAAATACTGTCAAAAAAATTTTTAAAATAAAAAAATTGCAGTTCAATCAATATTTCAGTCACTTTTGCAGCAGGACTCAGGGAAGGACCAGCTGCAGATTGTATTGTTCCAACCACTGTGAAGTTATAGTACGATACGACGCTGCTGCAGAGCGGGTGGACAAACCTCCCACAATCCTTTGCATTGTGGAGGTCCCATCCCCCTCTGGTCCCGGACCGTCTCTGTCCCGCTCTGACGCTGGACGGGGATGAGGTTACAGGAAGTCCTTATGTCGGGGAGATAGCGGTGCTGCTTGTTGACAGGGGTCTTCACCTCCTCTTGGACTGACCATCTGCAGGATGGGGGAGAGGGAGAGGAGAGAGTGGGAGAAATAGGGGGCGAGCAGAAGTGGGGAAGAGGGGAGGGAGAGAGGGGAGAGATTAAGGCCATGGTATTCCTCTAGGGCACCATGCTTCAGGTGAGAGTTACATAATGTGAGGTCATCAGATGTGGAAGTGGAAGCTAAGCTAATCTTTGAGGACAGAGACGAGGACAAGGGTTTATTGGTCTCTTGTATGGGGGGGGGGATCACAGCAGGGGGGGTCACAGCAGCTGAAATGATTGTGTGGCTACAAGATGGAAGCCCCCTTACTCGCTGTCCCGCCACCATAGGCCCATGACATTTGGAAAGCTCCACGATGAGTACCCACAGTGCCACGGAGAGACAGATTGTTTTTATATTTATTAGTTTATTGTTGTGGCCCTGGACCTGCTGGATCTTATTTGTGGTTGAAAATAAATACTAAATTGTGAATCTAAAAAACATCGCTAAAGCCCTTCCTGACTGGAATGTTATGTTTTATATTTTATCATTATGGAATTTACTCTACCTCACTCTATTCTCTGCCTCTTCACTCTGACTCTGAGAGCAAAAGCAATTTCCTCGTCTGTGACTTCCTGTTATTACACTGCAAAAAAAAAGATTCTGATTCACCGAGGACTCACAGAGGACTCAGAGGAAAAAGGATATTTGGTAAATACTATACTATTATAATTTGTAACGAATGGTTATGTAAAACACTATTTTAATTCCAACCAATGATGAGTGTTTAGTGTTAGACCAGGTAAGACCAGTAATGGGAATAACGCAGTTGAAATAAACGGCGTTACTAACGCCGTTACTTTTTTCAGTAAGGGGGAATCTAAATAATTACTTTGACTGTAACTATAACGCCGTTATCATTGCCGACACCCCGTTACTGCACGTTAAGTTGCGCAATGAATTGTTTGCCCACACGCCCTGGTGGGCCTCGTGAGTTTCCTCCTCTCATAGTCCCAGCGCTGCTACAGGACCGCAGCCCCACACCGCAGCGGTGTCAGCGGCGGTCTGCAGCGTCTGGGACACGTGATATCTGCTGCTTTGCCCACTTTTCCACCTTGCCTTATTGTTCTTTATCTGTGGTGCTACTTCCCTCTAATCTATTCTGCTCCCCACTTCCTCTATTTCCCCATTCACATTATTCCAGCGGCTGTAGATGCTCCAGCCGCGCTCAGCGCGCTCTGTATTTTCCATTGTTCTGGTCTGTCAGGCGCGAGGGCTGCTGAACGGAGAGGTTGTGTGTGTATGTGGGAACTAATTATTTTAAAATGGTCTCTTTCAGTTGCAAGTTTTATAATGTGTTTTGTTTGATCAATGTATAAAAAATAAATGCGATGTAATTTAAAAGGAACCTTGGCCTGTCTTGTGCTTTGCCTATACAAACAATTCTAAAATAGGGTGGCATTGTTGCAACAATTAATCTACTTAGAAGTTATCCTTCTAAATTACAACCAGCTAAAGCTCGGTACCACGACAAACTAAAAAGTAAGGCAACAGTTACTTTCACTGGTAACTAGTTACTTTTATAGTGGAGTAACTCAGTTAGTAACTCCGTTACTTTTTGGGAGAAGTAACTAGTAACTATAACTGATTACTTTTTCAAAGTAACGTGCCCAACACTGGGTAAGACCAGGCTACCAGCCCCCGCCTGAGGAGATGAAAACTCTTGTCTAAATCGACATCTTTTAGTTTACTCTTAGGTCAGAGAGGATTTTCATCTCGGACAGATCCTCCGGAAGAACGTCTGTGATGATGTCGCTCTGGTCGCCGCTAACCATGAACGTCTGTTTGAATAAACTGGACTGGACTAATGTTTTTATTCTAATGGTGCAGGAAGAGAAGAGAAGAAAGTGACGTGTGTTTTTAAACGCTGCCATCCTTAAAAAATGGCAGCATCTGAAATCTGAATCCTTTTGACTTGTATGACCGGATAAACTAAATAAACCTAAAGATTAAACAAGAAGTATACATTATGAGTGAAATGTAGTCGTACCATAACCGTTTACAAAAAGAACTAAATGCATTAAATGAAGCATATTTCTCCAGTTACCACGTTCCTGAAAGAAACTTGGATTCAACCTTTCATGGAATATTTTACAGTTGTAATTGAGCTGGATTATTGTAGTATTTTGTTGCAATATCATGAAAAAAACTGAAAAATACAAATAAACTAAAAAAACCTACTTTTACTAATCCTCTTCCATCAACACTGAACACAGCTGTCTAACATAAACTCCATAAAGATTGTGATGATTTTGTGTGTAGGTGAAAGGCTGAAATGCCTAGAGAAACTAACTGCTGGTGTGGACCACGTGGGAGGCCGCTCGGCTACACACACAGGCCTTTTCAGTCCCTCTTACTCAAACATTTGCCTCCATCAAAGTTTTTTGGGAGGAGATTGACAATAGCAGCCTTCTTCCCTCTGCTAGTTAGGCCCAGACACAGCACAAGACATTACACCTAATCCCATGTGACGGTTGGCAGAAACAAACCAATACAAAACAATTGACTTATACCTTTAGATGCGGATGCCAGTCGTTTGTGGCTAATGCGTTTTGACGCTGGGATTAAGTGACTTCCTGCTGCAGATGTTTGACACTGGCCAGGCCTCAGAACTCACTGGGAGAGCCACCACTTCCTTCTATTACTGTCTTTATGATACGGTCGACCAGCTAAGAGCTCTGCCCAATACAATCAAGAAGCATGAGGGCATCGGCAGATTCTATCATCCGACTAAAAGCATTAGGACCAAAGCAAAGTATAGCATTTGCCAACGATTCTACGGATAAATGCATCCGGATGTGATACAAATGTGTGTTTAAAAAATGTGATGCAGGAAGAAGCCACTGACATATTACATTTAACACATGAATCTAAAACAGAAAAACTAACATTAAAGTAGCAATATGTAAGATTTTTATGTCGAGTCATCATTAAAGGGCCCTAATCTGTCAAAAGGCATTAATAAAACATGATATTTTCCAATGATCTTTTTTTCAATGATTAAAACAGTAGTTCAGGGATATGCGAATTTCAACTTTTTTGTTTTCATTTCGATGTTCCACCCTCCACCGGATAAGCTCCAGGTGGTGAGTTCCGGCGCCCCGATCAGAGACTTTCCGGTTAGGTATCTTGCCCAAGGACACTTAACCCCACTGATTTGACTAATTTGGGATTCTCAAATCATTAACGACAAAACATGGAATAAAACCAGGATTTGTGAAAAAGGTGTTGTTTATAGATTTGTTGTTGACAAAACTCTTGTCTATTCAGCTGTTATGGTCCCAGCTGGATTCGTCTGCATATCTGGCAACCTGAGTCAGGGACAGTGGGAGAGGCTGCAGTACCACTTTTGGCCACATGTTTTAACATACTGCTTCTTTAACATAAAAGTATGTCCAGGACTCCCTTGACAAAGAGGTTCTTAATCTCAATGGGACTTTCCTGGTTAAATAAAAGTTAAATACAAATAGAATTATAACTGGCATATTGTACAGCATATGAATAATAATAACTTTTGGTAAGTTTCATTATGTGCAGAATGTACTTTTGTGAAAAAAACATTACACTTTTTAAGTTTCCTTTTGTTCAGAAAAAGAAAGAAGTGGGTCATAAGAGTAAAACCGCAAAACAAAACGGACGTGTAGGATTGCATTATTTCCTAAACAGGAACAAAAAGGAGCTGCTCAGTCTTTTCTAGTCAACAGTTCTATTGTTGTAGTACAATGTGTACTATACAGTAGTATAGTGTGTACTATACACTAGTATAGTGTGTACTATAAAGTAGTACAGTGCGTACAATGTGTACTTTACTACTGTATAGTACACATTGTACGACTGTATAGTGTGTACTATACAGTAGTATATTGTGTACTATGCAGTAGTATAACGTGTACTTTACAGTAGTATAGTGTGTACTATACAGTAGTACAATGTGTACTATACAGTAGTATAGTGTGTACTATACAGTAGTATAGTGTGTACTATACAGTAGTATAGTGTGTACCATACAGTAGTACAGTGTGTACTATACAGTAGTATAGTGTGTACTATACAGTAGTATAGTGTGTTCTATACAGTAGTACAATGTGTACTATACAGTAGTATAGTGTGTACTATACAGTAGTACAATGCATACTATACAGTAGTACAGTGCGTACTATACAGTAGTACAATGCGTATAATGTGTACTTTACTACTGTATAGTACACACTATATTACTGTATAGTGTGTACTATACAGTAGTAGAATGTGTACTATACAGTAGTACAATGTGTAGTGTGTACTATGCAGTAGTATAGTGTGTACTATGCAGTAGTATAATGTGTACTATACAGTAGTATAATCTGTACTATGCAGTAGTACAGTGTACTATCTTTATCTTTATTTATATACCGCCTTTTCACTGCAGATCTGAGTCTCAAAGCGGTTTACAAATGTTAATTTTTGGGCATTTGTCTCTCACTCCACACAGAGATGGGAGCGGGGCCAGTACAGGAGGCGCATGCCAGAACTATTGGACATATTTTTAGTGGTAGGGGAAACCGGAGTACCTGGAGGAAACCTACACAGACACAGGGAGAACATGCAAACTCCACACAGAAAGGCCCTGGTCCGACCAGGATTCGAACCCAGGACCTTCTTGCTGAGAGGCGAGAGTGCTATCCACTCAGCCACCGTGCCGCACTATGCAGTAGTATAGTGTGTACTATGCAGTAGTATAACGTGTACTTTACAGTAGTACAATGTGTACTATACAGTAGTACAATGTGTTCTATACAGTAGTACAGTGTGTACTATACAGTAGTACAATGTGTACTATACAGTAGTATAGTGTGTACTATAGAGTAGTACAATGTGTACTATACAGTAGTATAATTACTAGTAGTATTACTGTTTATTGCATTACTGTGTAACAGACTAGTTTCTATCACATGTTATACTTTGTTCTTTCATACTTTCTTTTTTATACTTTGTTAATTTGAGGATAACAGCAGTTATAAGTTGTTCAAATGTATCCTGGAGTTCATTGATCTCCATCGTGTGTTGCTGATGATTGGGTTCCACAGATGAAGGCAGTTTCTGGAGCAAATGTATATGACATGAATAAAGAGTAAGTTTCAGACGACAGTGTCTGACCACAGCATACATCAGGTCTGTTTCAGGATCATATTAGTTCACGTCTAGCAGATGTTTTTCCCTTTATTGTTGATTTGGTTCAAACCTTTTTTCTCTCTTTATTTTGACACAGCACTTGGCTCTTACTTCCACATTTGGCAGGTGTCTCTCCACGGGAGGCGACGGAGCCAGATCTGCTGCTCGGCTGCGGCTCGCAATGGGAGAACTGAGGGGCCATGACACGGCTGTGACTGGACCCTCTCTGGGGCGGCGTGCCATCAGGTGTGCGGGGGATCTTCGGCTGACTCGTGAATCCTGGAATATACTCGCTGTGGACACAAAGTACAAAACACAGGTACATTATTAGAGGCAGTTCAGTTCGAAAAGAAAGATAAGAATCTCAGTCTGTGTCAGTCTCAGGGAAACTTTCATTGTTTATGCTCAGAAATGTTACTGGAAAAGATCCAATTCTCTTTCAAGAAACACAACCTGATAAAATAAACCACAACAAGATATAAAATCAGACATACACAGCCTGACTGATGTTTATTCATTTGTAAAAGTATCATTTTTGCTATAATGGTGTTTTCTAGTACGCTGACATTTAGTGATAGGATATTGTATTTTGAGCCTGTTGCACTGATAGACTTTTTAAATGACTTGAAGGTAATATTGACTCTAATCAATATTACTTGTTAATCATTTTAAAACATGGCTCCAGAGAGAACAGATGTAAGATAATCTGCTGGTAACTTCTGGTGCATTTACAGTATTACTTATTAATGTTCGTTTATTTCAGAGATATGCATTTAAGGTGGAACAAAACACATGTAATAATTAATAATCAAGTAGTTTCCTTTTGAATGCTCTGGAAACAGCAGCGAGTCCTGAGTCTCTGAAACAGTTGTTTTGTGTTTTACAGTAGTTATTTTTCTCTCTGTAAATGTTGCTGCAAAAGTGTTGATGGTTTTACGCTGGTCCAGAGCAGAGAGGATGCACGGTCCAAAACAAGCAGATCAAGCGTAAATCCACTGGAGGAAAGCTCATTGTTTTGGAAATAAAGCATTCAGCATTTTACTCTGAACCAGGGCAGAGAAAATAGTTCAAACCAAGAGGATTCTGCAAACTTCACCAAAAGGAAGCAGCTGATCCTGCGGCTGCTCCAACTCTGCTGCTGCGGCAGAAACTACTGCTGCTTTTTAATATTATAGTTAGAGACTTTTAGAATGATCTATGTATTTGTTTGTTTGGATGGATGTGTTTCTGCTGCTATTGGACATCTGCATTTCTCCTATGTCTGTCTAGCTATCTATTGTTATTATTTATTTAGTTTTATCTATCTCCTGCTGGAGACGTGAGACCACAAAGCCTGTCCCCAGAGTGGATTCTATACCATACAAAAATGGATTAATTTAAAAAACAAAATCAAATTCAGTCCTTTGTCATTGGAGTCACACTGGCTCCAAAAAGATAAAATCTGGTGCAACCAAGTTTCAGAAACAGTCTCACCATGAAACACAAACATGACTGATGTCAATGGAACAGTTTGATATTTTCAAACCACAGATTAGTAAAATAACATTTCTCTGTTGAGAGGTACCGCCCAGGTGCTCTTCCGTTTAGGGATCAGGCATGTCATTTCAAACAGGACAGAGGCACAGAGACATTTATTAAAGATTTTAAAAAACTTTAAATAAAACCTAGGCCTGAGGACAAACGGTTTGTCAGAGTCATTTCCTTTGTGGATCAAGTTTGTCTAAGTCTAGGTTTCATTGTTTTGCCTCTGTCCTGTTTCTCACATCAAAGAAAGTTCTGATTAAGGTCAGAACTAAAACATGAGGAGGCAGCGTTTCAGAGGCAGCTAAAATCAGTTTTCCTGAAAATGTGAGACAAGCTTCTTTTCTATGTTTAAATCCAGGTTAAAAACAGTTCAGTTTCGCTGATAATTTATTATGTTAATTCCTTGTGTGAATGGGCCTCATGTGTGAAAATTGCGCAGAAAAAGGTGTACATTTTGGGTGTAGATCCCAGATACACAAGATCCGACGTGGCATTTATGAACGTGTGAGATACGCACAGATCTGAGCGTACGCACCTGCAGCTGTTCATAAATGCCACGCTCAAAACCAGCGTATTTATGAAAGTCACGCCTATATATATTCAGAAACTGCCTTTTCCACGCGCTGTTTTTGTGACAGGTCAGCAGGAAGTCGGCTAAGAAGCCGCACAACTTTTGAGTTTATTCACGTTTAAAAAAAAATATATATTTATACACTTTTTTCCCTAGTGTCTAGACCCACTGCAGCACTCATCTCTCCTGAAATGTTGACGTAAATAAATAAATAAATAATAAATGACCTGAATGAATGAATGAACTATACTGCTGGTGCGCGTTGCATCCTATCCCTGCTCTGCGGAGAACAGGGCAGTGGCTTAGACAGTTTTGAGCAAGATCAGGTGCATTTATGGGGCTTTATGCACAAAACTAAGGAAAACCCACATTGCTTTGCCAGAGGTGAATGAGGTAAAACATATGCGTAATTATGTGTACGGTGCAGGGTTGTTCATGCATGTGTAAAAATAAATATACGATATTTATTCAGCTGCGTTTTGAATACATTTGCAGAATTTTTTTGATAAATTATAAAAATCTCTCTTGAATTGTAGAAGTGAATAAATAAAGAATGAATTAATTAATTCATATATATTGTGTGCAGCGGTGGCTCTCATCAATGAAGCGTCTGCAGCGTCTTGTGAATGCACTGAAGCGCTGTACACTTGCAAGAGCGTTTGCAGTCCAGATTTTACAGAGAAACTCTGGAGCCAAGACTTCTGAATGACAGCATTTGAGGAGTTATGTGGCGCGTCTCTCATGGCACCTGCTGTGGATGCACTCCCAAGAGTGTGCAGCCGGTGGACAGGGCAGTGAGACATTTGGAGTGAGCAATACCATAGTCCATCGGTCCATGCGTTAATGGGGTGTGTGTCTGTGTGAGGCTTACACAAATCTAATGAAAACATACATTGCTTTACCAGATGTGAATGAAGAATACAAATAGCCGTGCGTGATTACGCAGCGCAGAGCCTGCCACAGCAATAGCTGGGTCACACATCCCTGTCGAGTTATTTGCATGGAGCCTTTCACTGTCCAGGATCACAAAGCGCTTCACATTTTTAAAACATACAGATCAAAATAATACACACAGAAGTCACATATAAAATCATAGAAACAGAAGAGGCTCATGATCTGTGATTTATTAAAGGTTTGGGTGTTTCCAGAGTGTTAGACTTTTTCTGATGCGCAAATTCCAATTCCGAAACATGATGCTCCATGAAAACGCAGCTTATAATATTGCCAGAGTAGGAACATATTTATTGTTGTCCAAATCTTGAATGCCATGCGTGTTTTGGCGTGTTGTGACGAAGGGTGAAATGAGCGTACACATTTACACCACCTATTGAGTTGGTGTAAATTCTGTGCGTATCGTACGCTCACGTCCAGATTGATAAATGCGGAAAAGTGTAGATTTGTTGCGTACGCATCATTTACACCCTGATTTGGCCGTACGCAAGTTTCATACATGAGGCCCAGTGTCTCTTGTCAGCACTTAGAGTTGTGTATGAATTGTGCTTTACAAATAAACTTGCCTTGCCTATAGTGTAAGAGTGAAAAGGAACCGATAACTTCACACAAACACAAGGACGACTGAATGAACCATAAATATTAATGCTTTCACAGGAAGGGGCAGAGCCACATTGATTTCCGCGGATGCCCTGCTCCGTGTGCTACATTATCAAGATACAGTCATATGATCAGTCAGACCATAGACCAGTGAAACCATAGTAAGTAAGAAGGTAATTTTTATTTATATACCGCCTTTCACAAACCAGAGTCACAAAGCGGTTTACAATTGTTATTTTTTGGGCATTTGTCCTCTCACTCCACACAGAGATGGGAGCGGGGTCGCCGAACAGGAGGCGCATGCCAGAACTATTGTACATATTTTTAGTGGTAGGGGAAACCGGAGTACCCGGAGGAAACCTACGCAGACACGGGGAGAACATGCAAACTCCACTCAGAAAGGGCCTGGTCCGACCGGGATTCGAACCCAGGACCTTCTTGCCTTCTATCCACTCAGCCACCGTGCCGCCCACGAATGGCCATAGATCTGTGAGACCATAGATGACCATAGACCAGTGAGACCATAGACCCACAGGGTCTCCCTCCATGTGGGTTTCCCTAGGTCTCCCCAAGGTTTCTCATTTTTTCCCACTGGGTTTTTATGAGTTTTTCCTTGTCGATGCAGGAGGGTCTTGTTGGACAGTTAGTGTCCAACAGAAAGGATTGGTGATGATCAGGACACTTTAACATTCTACAACATGTATGGACATTTTCTTCTGTGTGTGCTTTATATTTTTCATGTGTTTTAACTGTTGATTATCTGATCTGTGTTGGTGATTTCAATGGTTTTGTTAAGTCCTCTGAGATGACTTCTGTTGTGACCTAGGGCTATACAAGAATAAATTGTATTGTATTGTATAGACCAGTGAGACCATGATCAGAGAGACCATAGATGACCATAGATCAGTGAGACCATAGATGACCATAAATCAGTGAGACCATGATCAGTGAGACCATAGATCTGTGAGACCATAGACCAGTGAGACCATAGATGACCATAGACCAGTGAGACCATAGGCCAGTCAGACCATAGACCAGTGAGACCATAGAATAGTGAGACCATGATCAGAGAGACCATAGATGACCATAGATCAGTGAGACCATGATCAGTGAGACCATAGAGTTGTTTGAAGGATGTTTATGCACCATGCACCAGAAAAGACACCAGTGAGCTTGTTTGAAATGTGCGACTTGACACAAAGATTGTATTGTCAGCTACACAATCCCTGCTCACTAATCTTAATCTTTTGATGTTGTAAAACTGTCCGGTTGTCACGCCAGGTGTGTGCGCAGTCCGTGTAACCAGAGGAACAGCTGTGTTTTGCTAACAAGCACAAAGAGTTAGTTCCTGAGACTGGGTCCAAATTGCAGTGTTTCTAGGATTCCATTGATTTCTTTGTTGATGGTTCTGAAGTCCCTGTCATTCAGAGCTGGGGTGAAACCAGGCGACTGGACTCAGACCGGGCCAAGCTGTATGGCAGCCGTGTCTTACGTTCCTGGGTGAGCGCCGGGGGGATGACTGAAGCAGTTTCCTTAGACTCATTACTCTTGGTGAGATTGAGGAGTCGGGTTCCTTTGGGATTTTGAAGGAGGGCCGAAGCCGGGGAGGTCTGTCTGAATGGGGCTCTTTGTGGGTGCTGCTGGTTTAAACGCATGTCACAGATGTAGAGCGGCCAGAGCTGAGTCACTGGGACCGTGCCCACCCCCACAACCTACAAATAACTCTGCTTCAAAGTAGTACGACTTCTGTACATTCATTCATTCATTCATCATATCAGTAATGACTATTATCAACAAGGGCACAGAGTGTAGAGATTAGACCTGACTATATCCAACCGTGTCATGGTAGAACCTCCACTTGGTCCAAAGTGTTTGATAAATATTGCAATAAAACAGAAAAACAAAAACGGCACTGATTCAGGATAATATAAACAGTTTAGTTGCTTGAATTCAAAAGAGTAGAGATGAAGTCCTTCAGTTGTACAGACATAATTATTATTATTATTAATTATTATCTTTATTTGTCAGACTCAAAGTCCATAAAATACATACACCACAGCATTGCTTTCATGTATTATTTTATTCCCTTTAGTAATTTTTTTTAAATGGTTTTAAGTATTTTTATGCACTGCACAGAAAAGGTTAGGGTACCACACGTCAGAGTTTTATTAATAGTATTATTATTTACATTTAATGCTGCGGTGAAATATGGAACATAAATTAAAACTATTGCCGTTTTTGTTTACTACTGTTAATGCTGCTAATTAGTTGTTTTGTGTTTTTAACTGTGATTTTTGTGTTTTTTTTATGTGATAATTTGTGCTTTGTGTGACGTGGACTGTAAAGTGCTCTACAAATAAAGATTGAAATTCCATCCATCCATCCATTTTCTTCCCTTTAATCCATTTCTGGGTAAGGGGGGTGGCAGTCAGAGATGCCACCCAAGTCTCATAGCACCAGCCCCTCACTGACCCTCTGCAGGTGGTGAGTCCACAGGAGGACGGCTGCTCTCTGAGTGTGAGCATAGCCTTGATCTTTCAGTGGGGGCTTTTGGGCAAAGTGGGGTTAAGTGTCTTGCCCAAGGACGCAACGACAGCAGTCATCAGTGGGAGTCGGTGGAGAAGGTGTAGAGGTGGGAATTGAACCCACAACCTTCAGGCCTGAAGGCCAATGCTCTACCAACTGAGCTACTGTCGCCCCAAAAATTTAAATTATTGAATTTGAATAAACTAAAATATATACAAACACGCACACATATTGAGACTGGTTTCCTGGTGGTGGTCACGCAAACTGCAGTTTTACCTCTGAGAAGAGTCATTCTGTCGCAGTCCTCCTCTGGGGGCTCGACCTTCAAACAGAGTATCCAGATCGATATCTTGGGAAAATCTCACACTCTCAGTATCTGAAAATAAATAAACAATTATAGTTATAAATACAGAGCGTCATCCAATGTTTTAATCGGGTAGGTCTGCATCTCACGACAGACTGGATTTACTGTTATTAATGAAGTCAAGAGAATATCATATAATGAAATGTAAATGTAAATGTTTGTGAGGGAAAACCAAGTCTAAGTTTAAAACGGACTCTTTATGGACTATGTTGTGTTTATGTCTGTAAAAGTTTTGTTTGTTGTTTTTTGTGATTCTTTTTCATATAATCTGATATTTAGATCTTAAAACTCTGAGGACTGAAAAGACTAAAATTATGATTAGAATGAAATAATGAAATTGTCAGTAACAGAAATTGCAGTAACAGAACAAGGAACAATAAACAGGTAAATATCACTTTATAATGATAATAATTGAGTTTTATAATTAGACCAGATTAGCTGTTGATGTAAACACTAACTCAGGGGTTCCCAAAGTTTTTAGCCCGCGACCCCCATCATAAATGCGCTGCTCCCCGGCGACCCCCCACCTCAACAGTCCTTCCCGTCAATGAGCATGTATTTCCTTGATACGGAGTAACGCAGAGACTCGCGCCACTACTGAGCTGCACTGTCCAGCCCAAAAAAGGAGGCTTGCGTATTTTTACTCACGTAGTGACACAGTGATGGGCTTGGTGGGCTCCCTTCTTAGCAGAAGTGGAGCGCATTTCTTGCGGCTCGCCCTCTCTGTTCTCATATCCACTCAGCCACCGTGCCGCCCACTCAGCCTGACCTCACATGTGACTTTTCTCCCCCTCCGGGTTTTTCTGTTGTGGATATTAACCACGTTTCATTTTAAAGCAGGTATTATTTGTTTGAAGCCTCCAAACACCTTTAGTTTTAGCAAACAACAGCTGGACACGCTTTGTCGCTGCGTGACGTAAGCTGCGTAACTTGATTTTGATTGACGCTGTCAATGACTGGACAAAATTACAAACGTAATTTAAATATTTTATATTCTCCTAACACAATTTAACAAGTAGTCCTTTTGAATCAAATCAAATGCTAAATCAATATTTAAGGGCTATTAATTAGCAAAATGTTTTTTTTGTTTTTTGTTTTTTTTTGGAAATCATCTTGCGACCCCCCCCAGGGGTTCCCGCGACCCCCCGGGGGGTCGGGACCCCCACTTTGGGAACCACTGCACTAACTCACCGGTACTCTGATGTAAAGAGTCTGCGGTCTCGGGGCGACTGGGAGGTGGAGAGTCGATCGGAGAAGGAGAGACGCCGTGACAGACTTCACCCCTAGAATCCCTAAAACATGAACACACTATAATCACACATCCTGGATCCTCTTTAGTAAAGTTTATGCAGTAATATTGTCTTACTGCACAGTGTAACCAGATGTGCCGACTAATTTTGACCCACTGTGCTCTTTTCCAGATATCAGATATTTGCTATGAAATACAGTATTGGGGTCAAATGAAACAATGAGGCTTTTTGCTAGTGTCTTCTATCCAGGGACAAAGTACACACTCACATTCTTATCTGATCTGTAAACCGAGAGTGTTCGAGATACAGCCATGAAGTTCTGAATTCAACATACTTTCCTGAGCAGAGGAGAGATGTAAATAGGGGCTCACACCTGGAGTTCGAATGTTTGTGCAGTCTTGGAGTGACCGGGCGCTGAAGAGGTTCATTGTCCCCAGACTGTGGATTTGGAGACGTCTTTTTTGCTTTTGCCAAGTTGGTCATGATCTAAACACAAACATAGTCCAATAAAAACACAAAAAGTAGTCATGAGTAGTGTAACAGTACAGTATCAATCAGTCAGAGATACAAGAAAACCCAATGCTGTGTCTGTTTATATGTTCTGAAAGTCTGATCTATAGCAGTGTTCTCCAACCAGAGGGCCGTGGTACATTTGTGTGCCTTGAGATGTTATTTGATGTGCCTTGGGAAATTATCCAATATCACCTGCTTGGTCAAAATAATGTGAGATAAAGAGTGAGATTCTTTGCCCTTCTTTGATTTTCTATATTATACAATTTGATGAGAATTACTTTGTTTTGTTATTAAAGGTTGCAAAGTGTGCTAGATTTGACAAATAAAGTAAATAAGTAAGTATTGTTTATTTATATAGCGCCTGACACGCAGAGTCACAAAGAACTTTACAATTATGGTGTGCATTTGTCTCTCACTCCACACACAGATGCTAACATACAGAAGGTTCATGCCAGACCAATTGTACATGTTTTTAGTGGTAGGGGAAACCGGAGCACCCAGACGAAACCTACGCAGAACATGCAAAGACCCAGAACCTTCTTGAGACCCTAACCCTGACCCTTCTTGTGAACCACCCAGTGGGGGCGGGTCCCAGCTCAAAAGTGGCCAAAATGACGTGCGCTGACATGCTTGCAATACCACCCCGGGCCGATGGGGGTGGACCCAGAAGAAGAATTAGCCAATGCTAACATATAGCATTGGCAGAACTCTCAAAAAGGTCTTTACAGGATGGACCAAAAGTTGCTCTTGGCCCAAAGCTCCGTTCCACATGTGTGTCAATGCTGAGGGGGGGTAAATTTTTTTGGTCCACTCTAGTTTCACAATTTTCTTGTGGGCGGGACCACTCACGGCCATTTTGGATAGCTCCAGCAGAGCACATTTATTGGCCCATTAGTTAGAACGGCGGAGATAAGCGTGACTCTGTCCGTTAATATAAACAGTCTATGGAACCACCGTGTTGCCCAAAGTGAAACAACAGGAATCTTGTTCCAGTGCACAGTCCAGCTCTCTTTTCCTTACCCCTAAGTACTCTGTGGTGAGGAGACTCTCCCCACACAGCTCCCCCGGCTTTGGCTGGATCGCTTCCTCTTCCAGATCAGCCTCTGTCAGATCCTCCTGTTCCAGAAGACAACAGTTATAATTATCAGTTGTAAACTTTTGTTTAGTAAACGATTCTCTTACGTCATTATCGTCTTCTTCGTCCTCGTCGTCAGACTCCGGTCCTTCGTCTTGAGCTGGAACAATCACAGCGATAAACTATAATACTGACGGGACGTGGACAAAGCATAAAAATAGAGATTAAAGTAAAAACATACTTGAATTAATTTGTTTGATGATGAACTCAATTTGACGATTTAGGTTCGTATCGCCCTCTTTGCAGAAACAAAAGAGAATCTCGTCCACACTCTGCAACAACAAGAAAACAGTTTGAAAGGTTTGGTAACGCTGTAATAGACCACAGAGGTCCAGACACTGGTCCGGACCAGAGCAGAGAGGATTCATGGTTTTACGCTGGTCCGGACCAGAGCAGAGAGGATTCATGGTTTTACGCTGGTCCGGACCAGAGCAGAGAGGATTAATGGTTTTACACTGGTCCAGACCAGAGCAGAGCATGCTAACTTTTGTAAAAATGCTAATGACGCATTAAGCATTTTACTTTGGACCAGAGCAGAGAAAATGGTCTGAACCAAGCTGCACCTCTGCTGCTGTGACCTGAAGGACTGTTGTAATACTATTGTTAGATACTTTTAGAATGATCTATTTATTCGTTTTGTTTGTTTGGATGGATGTGTTTCTGCTGCTACTGGACACCTGCATTCCTCCAACATGATCAATAAAGAATCTATCATATATTTATCAATCTATCTCTTTATTCTTAGACCCTCTTACCATCTCTTTGGCCTCTTGTCGCACAGAGGGTATGGACAGAATGCTGTACAAGGCTCCGTTTATGTACGGTCGGATCTGAAATAAAATGTTTGTATTATTAAGTTAAAGACAAACAGTTACACAAAAATATAATAGAATAAATTATAGTGATCAGTACGTTCTGATGAACTACAGTGGGGCAAAAAAGTATTTAGTCAGCCACCGATTGTGCAAGTTCTGCCACTTAAAATAATGACAGAGGTCTGTAATTTTCATCATAGGTACACTTAAACTGTGAGAGACAGAATGTGAAAAAAAATACAGGAATTCACATAGTAGGATTTTTAAAGAATTTATTTGTAAATTATGGTGGAAAAAAAGTATTTGGTCACTTCAAACAAGGATGATCTCTGGCTCTCACAGACCTGTAACTTCTTCTTTAAGAAGCTCTTCTGTCCTCCACTCGTTACCTGTATTAATGGCACCTGTTTGAACTCGTTATCTGTATAAAAGATCGCCCAAATGTAGCCCAAAACGATATTTCAACCACTGATAATCTCCCTCGATCTGGGGCTCCACGCAAGATCTCATCCCGTGGGGGCAAAATGATCATGAGAACGGTGATCAAAAATCCCAGAACCACACGGGGGGACCTGGTGAATGACCTGCAGAGAGCTGGGACCAAAGTAACAAAGGTTACCATCAGTAACACACTACGACGACAGGGAATCAAATCCTGCAGTGCCAGACGTGTCCCCCTGCTGAAGCCAGTGCATGTCCAGGCCCGTCTGAAGTTTTCCAGAGAGCACATGGATGATACAGCAGAGGATTGGGAGAATGTCATGTGGTCAGATGAAACCAAAGTAGAACTTTTTGGTATCAACTCAACTCGTCATGTTTGGAGAAAGAAGAATACGGAGTTGCATCCCAAGAACACCATACCTACTGTGAAGCATGGGGGTGGAAACGTCATGCTTTGGGGCTGTTTTTCTGCTAAGGGGACAGGACGACTGATCCGTGTTAAGTAAAGAATGAATGGGGCCATGTATCGTGAGATTTTGAGCCAAAACTTCCTTCCATTATTTTCCACCATAATTTACAAATACATTCTTTAAAAATCCTACAATGTGAATTCCTGGATTTTTTTCACATTCTGTCTCTCACAGTTGAAGTGTACCTATGATGAAAATTGCAGACCACTGTCATTATTTTAAGTGGGAGAACTTTTTTGCCCCACTGTATATTCACTGCACTGTGGGCATTAGCAGTAAAATATATAATAAATACATATAATCATGGAAACAAATCAGGGCTGGGAAAAAGACAAATCTCTTTAATTCTCGGTTGTATTAAACATAAAAAATATGTGATAGACTTCCATTATTTGGGCTAACTATATTTCAATCATAGTGATGTGTGGAGGTTATTTCTGTATTTGTTTTAAAAAATATATTTTTTCTCTGCGGTTTTAATTTCAGTGTAACTTCCTGTTCTGTTTCCCTGTTGATTGTCTGCCCTGATGTTTCAGTGTCTATATGTACCTGTGTCTCTCTGTGTCTATATGTACCCGTGTCTCTCTGTCTATATGTACCCGTTTCTCTCTGTGTCTATATGTACCCGTGTCTCTCTGTGTCTATATGTACCTGTGTCTCTCTGTGTCTATATGTACCTGTGTCTCTCTGTGTCTACATGTACCTGTGTCTCTCTGTGTCTATATGTACCTGTGTCTCTCTGTGTCTACATGTACCTGTGTCTGTCTCTATATGTACCTGTGCTCCTCTCCACTTGTTGCTGTCCTTTTCCATCCTGTTCCTCATTCCCTGGACTTTTATTTTATTATCATTAAATCATTATTTTTGGCTTCCTGCTTTTTTAGTCCTCCTCATTTTCCACCACGTGACAAATTAATCATTATTCCCTAAAACAAATCCTTAAAAACTCAGATTCTAAAACTGGGTAAGTAAAGTGAGTGGATCAAATGAAGGAACTCTGTTAATCCAGTGTTAATAATGGAAAAAGGTCTATCTTGTCTTTTCAGTAGATTCAGTTTTTGGTACTTCTACACCAGACACATGTGTCCAAGAACCAACAAACCAAATCCCTTCATCTTTTTAATGGGTCACTGATTTGAAACTCAGTGTGTTCTGTACCTCGTGTTTCTCGTGTCCCAGAAGATCAGTGAGGACTTTGAGCACATGTTTGGCTTTATCAGCACACTTCCTTTTTCCTGAGAAACAAAAACAAACAACAGTTTGAGTTTGAGTTTATGTTTAATGGAGACAATCTGTCATCATCTCCACGTTTCTGTCGTTACATCTAAGTTTCTATACTTTTAAACATGAAACACTGAAACCGATGTTACAGAGAAACAGGGGAGAGAGTGAATATGGATCTAAGATTTATCCATCCATTTTCTTCCCCTGTGAGATTTCATAACACTTTTAAGAAACTTTTGTTAAAGTTAGACTCATCATTCTATCAATGTGCAGAAGCCTGTACTTTTCCCTTGTTTTGTCTATCTGAAGGCCAAGCTACATGGCACCGTGGAAGCTGCTGATTGGAGGTCTCCATGCCTCCGCTCTGTATAATACACTTGCATTCTATTGTATCTGTGTTCGTGTTGTTCGTGCGGTCTCTACCATCGACAATAAAACATGTCTTCTGTCTGAATTAAAGACGCAATCCCAGACATGTCATCTTCTTCAGGTGGTGGAAGGATGCGGGCCTTGTCTGTAACATCTAGTGATGTTACAGACGATGTTACACAAAAATGTGTTTTTTTTTTCAAGCCAAAACTGAGAAACCTCAAGAGAAACCATGCATCTGGACCAGCACACTTGGACAATCTGCACAGCCCCTGATTCCAGTCAGGCTGTGAGCTGCTGAGACATGGACAATACCATCGTCCTCTTTTGCATGGAAACAATTTGGAACCATTGGATTACACAATTTGGACATGATTTGGAACAATTGGATTTTTGAATTTGGACATAATTTGGACTGAATTGAATTGCTGAATCTGGACACTGAAGCTGAAACGTGTGATTGAAAGACACGTCACAGAAGAACTCATGGCTCGACACAAATGCAGCCTGAAGAAATCAACACAGAGAAGTGGGAGAGACTGTTTTCAAAGCAATATCTGAGAACCACCATCGACTGATGAAGTTTGGTATTTTACTGAAGATTGTTGACAAGTTTTATGAAAGATCTGAACATGTTTTATGAGTTTTCTGAGTTTTTGAAGTATTCCGAGTTCTGAGTTTTTTGAAGTACCGAGTGAAGTACCGAGTTGAAGTATTGAGTTATGATGTTATGTTGCTGTTTATTGATCCTGATGGTCACACGAGAATGTGTGAACAGAGGGGGGAATGTGAGATTTCATAACACTTTGAAGCAACTTTTGTTAAAGTTAAACAAATCATTCTATCAATGTGCAGAAGCCAGTACTTTTCCCTTGTTTTGTCTATCTGAAGCCCAAGCTACAAGCACACCGTGGAAGCTGCTGATTGGAGGTCTCCATGCCTCCGCTCTGTATAATACACTTGCATTCTGTTGTATCTGTTGTTCGTGCTGTCTCTACCATTGACAATAAAACATGTCTTTTGTCTGAATTTAAGACGCGATCCCAGATTATGCCATCTTCTTCACCCCTTAATCCATTTCGGGGTCGGGGGGTGGCAGTCAGAGCTGCACCCAGTCACAGAGCACCAGCCCCTCACTGATCCTCCTGCAGGTGGTGAGTCCACAGGAGCTGAGATCTTTCAGTGGGGGCTTCAGGCAAAGTGGGGTGAAGTGTCTTGCCCAAGGACACAACGACAGCAGTCATCAGTGGGAGTCGTGAAGTAGGTCTTGAGGTGGGCTCGAACCCACGACCTTCAGGCTCAAAGGCCAATGCTCTACCAACTGAGCTACTGTCGCCCAGAGCTGAAATACAAATTTTCAGCTCTGTCAGCTCTGAGGAGTACAGGGACTGGCGTCCTGCTGGGACTCTGAGGAGTACAGGGACTGGCCTCCTGCTGGGACTCTGAGGAGTACAGGGACTGGCCTCCTGCTGGGACTCTGAGGAGTACAGGGACTGGCCTCCTGCTGGGACTCTGAGGAGTACAGGGACTGGCCTCCTGCTGGGACTCTGAGGAGCACAGGGACTGGCCTCCTGCTGGGACTCTGAGGAGCACAGGGACTGGCCTCCTGCTGGGACTCTGAGGAGCACAGGGACTGGCCTCCTGCTGGGACTCTGAGGAGCACAGGGACTGGCCTCCTGCTGGGACTCTGAGGAGCACAGGGACTGGCCTCCTGCTGGGACTCTGAGGAGCACAGGCACTAGCCTCCTGCTGGGACTCTGAGGAGCACAGGGACTGGCCTCCTGCTGGGACTCTGAGGAGCACAGGGACTGGCCTCCTGCTGGGACTCTGAGGAGCACAGGGACTGGCCTCCTGCTGGGACTCTGAGGAGCACAGGCACTAGCCTCCTGCTGGGACTCTGAGGAGCACAGGGACTGGCCTCCTGCTGGGACTCTGAGGAGCACAGGTACAAACAAAGTCCAGTTTGTACCTTTAGTTCGCAGACAGAGGTTCATGAGTAGAGCAGCGTAGTATTCCAGAGTATAATCACTGAGACAGTCATTGTCCTGCAGCTCATCCATGATCCAACCAATCAGACCGATCTCGATCATGTCACTCTGCAGACTCCTCCTGCAAAACACACACACACACAAACACAATTATGTCTTTTTGTCTTTTGGTACATTTTAGTTTTGTTACAGGATTCAATTGTAAACTAAAACAAATACTAAATTCTCTATTACCAACTGTGATACGACTGCGATGATAGAAATGCTCTTTTTGGACATTAAACTGTATGATGTATATATTCATATTTTACTCAAAACAATATTACTTTGTTATGGATCCACAAAGTTTTATACAAATATTTATTATCAAAAAGTGTTATTGTAGTTTATTGTTTATTTGGTCGGCACAGAGCGTGTTAACGACACCTCTCAGATTTGGGTTTGTTCTGTTTGTACTTTATTTGTATTTTGTGATTATCCTGTTTTTTGTGTGTTCTTATTAAACATGAATGTATTTGATTGTCTTTGATGAATAAAGACCAATAAAAATATATCAGATTTCTGTTGTAAACCCCCCGACACCTCAAACACAATTTTACCTCAGACTCAGTTTCTGTAACGCAAAAATAAGATATTCCCTCGTCACTGAGTCTTTTGCTTCCGTCTTGATCGTCTCCGTCATAAGTTTCAGAAGAATCGGGATCTGAGAGAGATAAGCTCGGCCTAAAACGAGAAACACAGAAAGTTATCGGCATCAAAAGTTATGGAGAAATGCACAAACTGACTCTCCACAAACCTTCAGCCAGAGAAGCAAAGGCGTTGATGAGACGAGCCATGAACTGACGAACGATGTTGTTTTTACTCCGCATTAAACAAAGAACCGTTTTCTGAAATGAGAGAAACCGTCATAAACATGTGCAGTAGAAGATCCAGAGACAGAAACACTTGCTGTGTTTGAAGTCTGACACCCACAACAGCCTTTGTCAGTCTCCATAATGATCCTTTCTATGTGCTATTAGTGTCCCATAGAATGTGGAGTGCTGTGCTAAGACCACAGACAAAGACTGGAGCTGGAAGTTGACACCACTGTTCAGGAACAATGTACTGTATTTCAAATAAGCCTAAATAAGCACTGGAAGAGAGGGAATATCGGCCTAATACAAACTGGGTAAGGGAGACTTAGGATCTGGAGCATTGACCTCTTGAGCACCACTAATCTCTCACACATTCATGATACAAATGTAAATAACAATAATGTATTTCTATTATCGCTGAGATTTCACACCTGATTATTGCTGAAGCGGTCGAGAAGATCATTTCTGATGTAAGCCTGAAGCACAGTGTCTCTCTGCTCGCCCGGAATCGACCGAGTGAGTCTCTGTAACAAAATGTGTTTATTCTTGAAGTTGAAACTGTTAAAAACATTATGATTTGAGACGATGTAAAAGTATTCATACCCAGCGCAGTGCCTGTAGCAGCAGAGCCCGGAGCCGGTCGGCTCCTTCCATCAGGTCTCTCTTCAGTTTGTCATAGTCCAATGACGGCAGCATCAGAACCTCCTTGGGCCGTCTGAGAGAAGCATGAAACACACAGTCAGAGTCATTGAGAGAGATTTGTTTCATTTGCATTTACTTACTGAGACGCGAGAGACGCTCTGAGGATGGAAGAAGCCTGAGAGGAAAATATACAGGAAGACAACATTATAATTTTATAAACAATAAACAAACATGTTCTTCTCAATACAATATGAAATGCATGCATGATTGTTTCACATGCACCTGTGTGTATCCCCATGCTGTGAGTAGAGTTTAGACAAAACTTCTATAACAAGCACCACATTTGTAGTTTTCAAGATGTAATTTCGGGCCTTGAAATCTAACCTGGAGCTGTGCCTTAATCTGTTCTGTGAGAGGTCATGTGAGTGAATGTCTTCTCAGGTATCCGCTGGACTAACCACATATTTGCATTGCACTACAGCGGGGCTTAGGGGACGCCTGTGATACCTGGATTCTTTTCCCAAATACCTCTCTCTTTTGCACATTCCTCTTCCCTGAGGCAAGTTGAGGCCAAAGGGCATGCTTCATTGTGACTTCAAACCAAACGTGCCATAGAGACATACCAAATCTCTGTATTTGAATGTGTTATTGTTGAAGATACAATATATATGTATCATTGTGGTTGACCCCAAACAATAAACGTTGACCTAAATTCCCGACAATGTAAAGTTTACATTAGTGTTGTCTCTAGTCTCCTTCCTCCACGCAATCCTCTTATCATTCACTCCTATTGTTGATGCCTCTTTTAGTCTCTAAAGCCGGTAAAAGATAAGCTCCTCAGATAAACATAAATCTGTCACGAGATCAGACTCCTACATCACATTCAGTAACTGTTCACGTACAACAAGAGGTTGTAGTGGAATCAAATCCCCATCTTTTTACATTCCACAATTCTTGCACTAAATAAAGCCCAATACAAGTTGCTGACTAAATGACTAACAATAACCAAGTGAGACAAAAGGCAAGTGTTTCCTCATAAACGATACCAGTAGTAGCGGCAGAGGACCAGAAAAAGACATTGGTTACTTTGATATTACAGATCAAGGGATGCTGGGAAAGAATGGGAGTGGACTAAAGAGAAGCAGGCAGAAGGAAAATGGCCCGAGTGGCGTCAGGAAGTAGAAATGTGAAGAAACTTACATAGCCATCATCATAAGGACTCATTGAGTAATATCCCTTTGTGGGTTTAAGCACAGCGCACACACACACAATACAGAAAACACAGCACAAAAGACAAACAACACAGAAAAAGAGCTTGTTCAGTTCAGCAACACAAAAGAAAGCACACAACAAACTTCACTAATGAATGGGTCGAGCTACCCGGCACTTAAGACATGTTTTTGTTGCTCTGGTTACAGTGTTTGATTTCATTTGCACAGATTTCTATGAACTCTGCTTAAAATGCTTGAGACATCTCTGTGTCCCTCCGACCTCTGAGCGGGAACAGAGCAGTCTCCTCCACACCACTGAGGCCTGTAGGAGTTTGTTCTAATCAGCCTAATATTACGGTGACATCAGGACTGGGTTGGTAGGAGGTGCTCGTCACTCAACACATGTGTCTCACTTGTTTCCATTCATAATAAAGCTGTAGAGGTTTTGTTCATGTGTGTTGTTGTGTCTTGTTTGATTCCAGCTGTAAAGTGGAGTGATTATGGTGTGGTTATGCTTACAGTGCCAGGCCGAGTGAAGTCTGTGCTCTGAGCCGCACTCTGCCTCATCTGACTGTTGAAGAGGCGAACACACACACTCTGCAGGTACTCAGGGGAGATCTACAAACACACACACACATGTTTTACAGGGACAGCTAAGGGAAAGCCAGTTGACCAGTTTCACAGCTCACAAATTGATTATCAACCAACCATTTTTCCGCTGACTGTGGCCTCCAATGAGTCGACGAGCTCAGCTGTTATTCCAATCAGGTTGTGGTAATCCACCTGAATCTTATTGAACTTTTTCATATAAGTCGCAATGCGTCGGTCAGACTCGGACAACTGGATCTGCAGCTGCTGAATAGTGTCTGAACACAAACATCGTATTACAATCACCACATGATGAAATGAGTTTTATCCAAGTTCATTCCCTATGCCTGTATACAAGTGTGACAGCATCGACAGGGAAATGGAAAATGTGATGAACTTACCTTTTGTTTCTCTGCCACCCTCCCTCTTCAGGGTTTATGTTAAAGAAAATAGAGCTAACCGTCATGTAATCTCTTATTCATATGTTTAATACTTAGATATACAGGTATGATGTAATATTGGTGTATACATCCTGGAGGACCTATGTCCTCAGAGTGTATTTGCTTATAGATGAACAATCCCTGTTTGACTGATTTATGAAGTCGAATCATATACAGCAGAATATCTTACTGCTATTAAAGGTAAGAGTCTGAATGCATAATGTCCAATTTCCCAAAAAAATATAAGAAAAAAACAGCAATTTCATATCAGATCGAGTACAGCATGTTAGAACCGTGTACATTGTCTAACAAAGGAGGATATTAAACATAAACATGTTTATGTTTAAGGATACATATAAACTTAGAAGCCGTGGACTATTTGGTGGCTTTAATGCAATTGTCAGAAATTGCTCGAGGTTTTGCTGCAACTTTGGAATCCAGGATTCCTAAAATCAACAAAAAGAGTATTGCATAAGTGTTTGCATAGAATAGTAAAAATAATAAGAAATATATTAAATAATCTTTACTTGGAAGAGATTTTTAAAAGAAGGATGTACAGTAGGTTTTGGAACAAAAGGCAAAGCGTAGTAAGGAAGGAATTCTGTCGTTTCACTCAGTGCTGCTCCGCGAGTCTCAAGGTACTGCTTAAATAAGTTTATCCGATCCTCAAAGTCTCCTCGCCCCTGCAGAGACAGAACCAGAGTCAGATCAATATTCTTTTTATTGTCATTGCAGTAAGTAATAGGAAGGAATTTGCTTTGGCTCAAGGTGCAAAGAAGTTGTAAGAGTAAAAATAGGTAAAGCATAAAAAAATCTCCATAATATTTTTCTTATAATTCCTACTTTATGAGTGCGTTCACAGTAAAGTGTGAATTAAAGTATCTGGTATCTGAAAGGTTATCATAATAATAATGCATCGGTTTAATATAGCGCTTTTTTAGACACTCAAAGACGCTTTACATGTCATTACTCTTTCACTCCATACACGGTGGTGATAAACTACTGTAGCCACAGCTGCCCTGGGGCACACTGACAGAAGCGAGGCAACCAGTATGTGCCATCGGCCCCTCTGACCACCACCAACCATTCACACACACCAGGCGGCATGGTGGCTGAGTGGATAGCACTCTCGCCTCTCAGCAAGAAGGTCCTGGGTTCGAATCCCGGTTGGACCAGAGCCTTTCTGAGTGGAGTTTGCATGTTGTCCCTGTGTCTGCGTAGGTTTCCTCCGGGTGCTCCGGTTTCCCCTACCACTAAAAATATGTACAATAGGTCTGGCATGTGCCTCCTGTACTGGCACCCCCACACAAAATCACAATTGTAAATCGCTTTGAGACTCCGATGTGCAGTGAAAAGGCGGTATATAAATAAAGATTACTTACTTACTTACTTACCAGACTCATTCTAGGCAATGGGGGTAACTCAAAAACTACATTTACTGTCATAGATTGGAAAAAAGATTTCAAACACAGACAGATCAAAGAGATAGTGTGGATAAAATCAAAAGGAAATATTTACTCATATATTTGTCACACTTTTGTACCCTGTGGTGTAAACCAGCCCATACACAAGTTAAGTACACAGTATAGACATTATCAGTGCAGTTAAAGTGACAGAAGCAAAAGGGCAGAGGTCATTAGTGTCTGTTCATGAGTCCGAAAGCATAAAGTTATTATACTGTTGGAGGAAAACAACATTTTATTTATTAGTATTTTCTATTACACCATTGAGGTTTTGAAATGTGCAACAAAAGCTCAACAGCACAGCATAGTGGCCATTGTGCCAAAATGCATTCTTTTAGTTGATCCTATGAGAAACACATATTATCTCCTCACTTTACCTGCTGATATTATTTCTATGTTTATTCTGCTCATCTTCTCTGCTGCTAAAGTATAATATACACATCTGTAAATACCTCTGAACCAAGAGCATCTTATTACTTATAATTATTATTATTGTATTATCTTATATACTCAAACCTGTCATGATTAGCAGTGAACACATATATATAACACTTTTAATATTAATGCTATTTTAACTTAATTATGTGCATAAACAGTGTTGGGAGTTATGTATTATAAAAGTAATGTAATTACTGTAATCTATTACTTGCTGTAACGCAGTAATGTAAGGGATTACAAATTAAAAACTGGGTCTTATTTACTTGGTACAAAGGTCAGTTACTTTGCATTTTAACTCCTCCTCTGCTCAGAGGTTGGTGTTTGTAAAGAGCAGAGACATGAGGCCTATGGACAGATGAGAGGCTAAGCTCTGGTCTGATCTTTTATCGTGGATAGATAGCCATTTGACCTAGCAGGTGGACAACTGCAAGACACTACGCGGACTCTGATTGTGAATCCATGTTATGACTATGATACGCTCTGGGTGTCTCTGAATGACACGTATGTCTTTCGATGTGTGACGTAACAATGACTATAAAAGCATGTCTTGACTTTTGTTCTGTCTGAAAAATTCGAACCAACTGAACTGAAAAAAACTGAAAAAACCAGAGAAAACTGAGACAACTGATAAAACTGCTCTGTCGGAACCAACTGCCATTTTTGTGAATAAACAACCATGCTAGATGCACAAGATCCCTTTTTGTCAGTCAAACACTTTAAAGAGTCCAAAAGGAGTCAATATTAACAGAGACATGAGCCTCTCCAGAGTCTGTTTGGAGACGGAGGAGACACTTGTCAACGGGCAGAAAATATGTGGACGGATGAGCCGTTTTAAAGCAGCTGCAAGAATGATGCACTTCTGACTGAACCAGGATTATCCAGTTTACCCCAAGTTTAACCAGAATCACCAATAGTGACAATAAAAACGAGTAAATAACAACCCCTTTGATTACTAGACTGAAATTAAACCATTCATAATAAAACAGAAACATACCTCAGAGTCCTAGGCGTCCACAATAACCAGACAGAGTGAAACACATGACTTACATGACTGTGGTTCCTGAGTGGGTAAATAGTGAAGTGGATGTAAAGGTAAAACTCAAGCCGTTGAGCATCAGCATCTGTGTCCTTCACCTCAGGAGCAATATGTTTAGTCCACAGCTCAAAAAACACCTTATGGTCTCCATCCTCAAACGCACACATGAGGTCGCTCTGTGACACACAAATTCAAATGTTAGCCAAAGGGTTAGACCAAACAAAACAATATAAAAAGTCATACCTGAATTACACGCATTTTGGAGTCTCTCTGTGAGTTGCCTTGAGGCTTTGAGACCAGTTTCCCTTTTGATTTGCATTCTTTGACAAAGCTGTGAACAGTTTCTTCAAAATCTTCATATTTAAGATACTAGACACAACAGACAAAACATTGTTAGTACTTTTATGATTTAGAATTGTGACAAACTTCAGAAATGAACTAGTGTTACCTCTGTGATCATCCCAAGAAGATCTGCTTCAGTTGCCAGGATGTCTCCCATCTCGACTGCCCCCTCGAGACTCATGTGAGCAACAAGCACCTCTAGTCCTAACCAGCGAGAAATTAAACTCCCATTTAAAATAACCTATATAAAAATAAAAATAAAATCACCATATAGCAGACAAAACTGTGTCAGGTAAGTGCTAGGTGGCAAGTCTCAGTTTCAAAAACATAAATACATAGAAATACAAAAACCACATACATAAATATTTACGTATATTACACATATACTGTATATATTACACACAAAACAGTCCACGTTTTCTTAGCATGCTGAAACTCTCTATCTCGTCATCACCAAAACAGTGAAGGCCTAGCGTTAAATATTTCAAACAAACACATGTCAGATTCAAGACGCTGCCTCAAGTTACTCTTGTCATTGCACATTTTATTATAACTAATAGATCCATGATGCACATCTAAAACAACGGATAATCATGAAGTAATACACGTTGTCTTATCTTATCTTAAAGCGACTGTCGCCAAACAATAAAACACCAAACAGATTGTGAAGGTAATTTCTAAATAATACCTCGTTAATAGGAATTTATGAAATATGTAGCCCCCTGTCATATGCACTTTTAGCCAACTAAGTTTTTTACTATATATATTTTAATATAGATTCTAACATAATACACCTACTGCAATTCTTTAAAGGTAGCTATATATTCACAAACAGTGCATTTGTGTCTCTGTTTCAGATGTATTTTGAACGACTGTCTACATAACGTTGATGGTTCTGTAGAATCTAGAAATCCCGTTAGCTAGCAGCTAGCGCTTTATGAACAGTTTAATGCAACGTTACTTAAAAGTTAATTAACACGTTTTACCTGTGTGGTTTTAGTAATGCAGGTTGGTTTTCTGGAAATCCTTCAGTCTACGACATAAAAGGAACAACCATCATTTACATTAGCGAAAGATATGTGAGGATATGAAGCAACAACGTTTGTGCTAACGTTAGCATTCCTGTCGTGTCTCTGTATGCTAGCAACAAGAAAGACGCTGAAAAAATAACCCTAGCAACGAGCCTTTGGTGACGTTTTATTAAGTATTTATTTATTTATTTTTAAATATATATTCTAGATTCAAATATTATACAAACAAAACAGGTGCCTTAAAATACAAATAAAAATGATTATATAAAAAACACAAAAGGCATACTAAACAAAAACCAGGGTGACGTATGTGCCAGCTGAAGAAAATAGACACATCAAAATATTATTTTATGCGAACCAAAAAAATAGAATTTCAAATATGTAAATAATTTGAAAACATAAATAACAAAATAATTTCTTGTAAGAAAAGAGTTGTATTGTTTTTTTTTATTTAAAAATGGAGATTCGTTAAAAAAAAGTTAATTATCACATATCATTAAAATTACACGAAGCATTTTTAAAGGCACATTATGGTATATAGATATAATCCAATTGTTTTACTTACAAACTGTCACGGAAGTAAGCGGAAGTAGTCGGGTGTCAAAGGTTGAGCACATTGCACAGCGCGGTTCGTACGATGTTTCCTCACCGCAATGAATGAAATTACAATTTAACTGTTTGATCTTTTGCAAACTCTAAATACACGTTTTCATAGACGCCTGGCGTCATATACACAGAACATCAACTCTGGTGAGTTAACATTAATTTTACGTCAGGCTAATGCTAACAGCTAATGTGGGAATTGAAGTGTTTTTGCTTTTGAAAATGAAAAAAAAGTTTATGCATTGGGCTCATTACCCTCTGTAGGTTTTTACTTTGGCAAGTATAATCAGGGGACCTTTCACAGGATCTTACCCTTACGAACACGTCCCCTTTGTTGAGAAATAGTGACTGTATCAGCTATACTACTTTTTCTATCGTTATTCTTCTTCACATGCTAAAATCTGGAACAATCTTCCTGAAAATGTGAGACAGGCTTCTCTGACCATGTTTAAATCCAGTTTAAAACAGTCAAGTCAGTCCAACTGCTCCAACATCAATTAAGTGTTGGTGGAGAATATTATACCATATCAAAGTATTCATCAGCAAGGACCATGTCGATAGAATGCAAATTAAATATGGATTGAGGGTAAAAGAATAAAAACATGTGGAAAACTTGAATAAGATTGATGTACTTGTCTTGTGCACACTGCGGACGTTTGCATATGTAATCCATTGTGGTTTTACTGCAAATGGCAAAATAAATGAATCTGAGATAAAATACGATTGGTCCCACTGTGGGGAAATTTCAATGTCATTTCACATTAGAGCAGAGAAAAAGAAGGTAATAAGACTCAGATGCACACATCAGACAGGGTATGTTAGATAATAAAATTAAAGTATTAAGATGGTTAAATAGAATAAAATAAAATAAAACTCTGGAGCTATAATTGCACATGGGACAGAGCTGTATGTTGTACTTTTATCAGCAGAGAATATGAGCAGAATGAACAATAGTAATAAAAGTAGCAGGTAAAGTGACTAGTGAATACTAGGGCGGCAGTAGCTCAGTTGGTAGAGCGTTGGCCTTTGAGCCAGAAGGTCGTGGGTTCAAGCCCCGCGCAAGACCTTCACCATCAACTCCCACTGACTACTGTCGTTGTGTCCTTGGCAAGACACCAGCCACAGTGGGGCGGCTGCGGCTGTAAAGTGCCAAACTGCTGTTGTGTCCTTAGGCAAGACACTTCACCCCCATTGCCTAGAATGAGACTGGTGTGTGTATGAATGGTTGGTGGTGGTCAGAGGGGCCGATGGCGCATACTGGTTGCCTCGCCTCTGTCAGTGTGCCCCAGGGCAGCTGTGGCTACAGCAGTAGTTTATCACCACCGTGTATGGAGTGAATGAATAATGACACATGTGAAGCGTCTTTGAGTGTCCAAAAAAGCGCTGCATTATTATTATTATTACTTCTGAAGTTCTGGGTGGAAAGGAGCTGAGGAGAAGAACGTTCTGGTTTTTATTTAATCAAATAAATTAACACCACTGTTTTTTTGTTTTTTTTACAGCTTAAAACAAATTTAAATAAAGATGGCTGGAATTCTGTTTGAAGACATTTTTGACGTAAAAGATATTGACCCAGACGGCAAGAAGTTCGACAGAGGTAATATAATTTAATACTGTATTTTAAATCTTTTGTTTTTGTCGTGTAAATAAGATTATTATTATTATTATTATTATGGTTTCAGTTTCTCGTCTGCATTGTGAAAGTGAATCTTTTAAAATGGACCTAATCTTAGATGTTAATATACAAATCTATCCGGTGGATCTAGGTAAGGACAGGTTTATGAACTGTTTTAAGATTTAATTAAGAATTCTGATCATATTTGACTATTTCTTGTGTTAATTCAAGGCGACAAATTCAGGTTGGTTATTGCTAGCACCTTGTATGAAGACGGGACCCCAGATGACGGAGAATACAACCCCCAGGACGACCGACCGTCTCGGTGCGCCTTGTGGTAACTTTTTTGTGCCATGTTGTCATTGTTTTCTCACGTTTGTGGTTCTTTCAGGTCAGACCAGTTTGAGTACGTCATGTATGGAAAGGTTTACAAGATAGAAGGTGATGAGACCTCCACAGAAGCTGCCACGCGCCTGTGAGTGTAGAACGTTTGATCTTGATAAAAATGATGAGTTACATCGACCAAGCAATAAGTCTTCAGTGATTCTTCAATGGTTCTCAAAGTGTGGGACGGGACCATCCGCATGAAATACAAGTCGAGAGGCACAACTTTGACTGTATTTATTCACTATAGATTTCTCAAAAAACCAAAAGGAATTGGAATGTTTTGATTCTTTGAAGTATTCATGTGAGGGTTACGTTTGGACTTCACTGGTTTCTGTTTTAGCTCAGGATTCTTCCCTTGTGGGTTTATCACATGGACTGTTTCTTCATGAGCCACAAGAGAAATCTGTTATCCCCAAACGTCTCTCTGTAGTGACAACAGACCTCAAGCAACTCTGCACTAACTCCAGATACAGTGCTCTGTTCACATCTGCCTGTGGCTCAGTACAGCACACATCTGTACCATACTGTACCGTACCTCACTTCTCTCTGAACACAGTAAACCATGAGCCCAGTGTGAACCTCAGTCCAAGTGTTTTGTGTGTTCCTGACTTTGTGTAACCTGCTCTTGTTGTTTGTAGGTCTGCTTATGTTTCTTATGGAGGTCTGTTAATGCGGCTTCAAGGAGACGCAAATAACCTTCACGGCTTCGAAGTGGATTCTCGGGTCTATCTTCTAATGAAGAAACTGGCTTTTTGAGTGTATTTAGTTTGAATATTTACTCAAATGTAACTTTGCCAAATAAAAAGAGAACATTAGTAAATTTTGTTGTTGTAAATAAACAGTTTTTACATTTGTAATGTGTGTCTTTTTTATGCCCTGTATTTAAAAAAAATAAAAAGTGTTGCAGGCAATGGCAGAGTTGTCTGACTTGTCAAGCTAGCAGATTGTTCTCATTTGTTTCAAGTATTTTTAATATATTTAAGTACTACTATTGCAAGATTACAGGCTTCCTTCTGTCTGACTGGGTAAAAGAAATAGTAATAATAATGCTTCTATTTATATAGCACTTTTTTGGATACTCAAAGATCCTTCACATGGCACCACAGCTTGGGCAGACTGACAGAATCAGTGTGAAAACAGCCTCTCCAGCCTCACTTTAGACACTGCCACAGCCCCTACAGTGGCACCTTATGTTCCCAAGAGGTCTCCCATCACAGCACAAACCAGTCTCCGTCTTGCTTAGCTTCAGAGGTCTGACAGGATTTGCTATTTACTGTTCGTGAATGTACCACAATTGACATTTAATAAACACTACAGTGGACATGAAACATGCAGTGAACGCGGATGTGTTGCATTTGGTACAGAGAATGACTGTAGAGTTATTTTATTTTGTTAAACAATTGCGGAAGTGACGTAAGTGTTTACCGAGCCCAGTACACTTTGCGTGTGCTCAGATCATAGATGCACTGACGCTATGGTTCTGACATTGCTACCTTTATACTTAAACTAGATGTGACCAGGCTACAGATGCCCACAGGAGGACCCCCCGCGTCTTCAGCAGACCTCAGACCTTCAGACCAGAACAGACCCCAAAGGACCTGGTTCCGCATTCGCATCTAATTGGAGGCACGACACTCGGGATTACACATGTTTATTCCAATAGTCTCTTCTCCAGCTCTGGAGAATGAATGAAGTCGGTTCTTTGTAGCTGCAGCTGAAGCTATGGACGTACGACGCAAGAAGAAGTTAACTTATTTCACCATCGGACTCCTCTTTCTTCTGAGCGGCATCGAATACGGTGTGTTTGGGTTTTTACCATAGAGTGTATATATTACTCTGTGTTCTAGTATCAGGCTACAATTTTAGTTTTGTGTTACTCCTTTTAACATATAACCACGACTTTATATAATAGTTCTGTTTGTTTTAGTCTGTGTCTGTGTTGATCAGGACCATGTGTCTGTAATAAAGTTATCTATCTATCTATCTATATCTCTATCTATCTATATCTCTATCTATCTATATCTCTGTGTATCTATCTATCTGTGTGTCTGTTTATCTATCTATCTATCCATGTGCTTGCAAAGAATTTCCAGCTATTTAAATTCTCCTTTGACCTCACCTTTAAAACTAATTACCAAAAAGTGATGCAAACATTTACACCAATTAGTGTGTTCATTTTACAGTCTTCTCAGGAGCCGTATTAGTGTCTCATGACGAGGCTATAATTACATTTAGATTGTGTCAGCTCAGCACGACTGTAATAAGGCAGATTCAGTTGTCCCCTCGCATCACATGATCTAAACTTTCCCTGCCAACCTTTGACTTTTCGGCTTCTCAGTGTTTGTTCATCAATCTCTTGAGCAAGTCCGTATTTCTTGGTTTATGTAGCGGCAGAGATTGCAGTATTTACTTGAAATGGTTGCAACACACTGTTTCCGGACATATCTTCTCTAACGGCTGTGTGTTTTTTGTCTTTTTGTGTCCCGCAGCTGTGATTTTGCCGACGATTTGGAGATACTTGCAGACTTTAGATGCTGCTCCGTACTTCCTGGGTCTGTCCCTCTCCGCCTTCAGCTTCACCGGGCTTCTCTCAGGGCCGCTCTTTGGGCATTGGTCCGACCGAACACAAACCACCAAGAAGATCATACTTTTTGCCAATCTCTTTGAAATTCTTGGTAAGAAACTAACTCTGGATCTAGGAGACTTAGACTTAGACTTAGGCAGACTTTATTGATCCACAGGAAAATTGCGTCGTCACAGTCGTTTGCATAGTATTCCAGAATAAAAATAACAATGTGAAAATAATAATAATAGTAAGATAATGTTGTGAGAATAGAATAATCTGGATATTGATGCTCAGGGATATACACATCTGTGAATATGTACACATTATATACATGTCTGTGAGTATGTACACATTAATACTACTACATTCTGCAGTGGAAGCAAAAATCATTGGTCAAGTTTTTCAACTCTTTGCTAACCTGGACTATGTTTCTCTCCAGGTAACTTCATGTACTTTATGGGTCTTTCAAAATGGCTGCTTCTGGCGAGTCGACTGGTCGCAGGTAAGAAAATAACTATAAACTCAAGCTTTGATATTTTCGATTTATTTCTTTGTTATGTTTGGCCAAATGTAAATCGTACATCCGTGTATGCCTGTTATTTTTATTATATTATCATAACATCAACCCAGGAACAACAGGTGGGAATGAGCTCTTGGCTTAAAACCTTCCCCAACATCCCTTTTGAGGTTAATGTTTATTGTACACCGTCCTTGTCATCTTAAATAAATAAAGTAAACTCCATCCATCCATTCATCCATTTTCTTCCGCTTCATCCGTTGGGGCAGCAGTCTAAGCAGAAACCCCCAGACTCCCTATCCACTCAGTGTTTGTTCATCAATAAACTAAACTAAAAAATAAAACAAAAATACTGTTACTGTGTTTTATTAGCCTGGTCGTCGTACTAAGGTCTGGATGTGTTCCATTGACTCTGTTAACAGGTGGGAGGGGTTAACTCCTTTTGCAGATTGAAACCATTGGATCTGAGTTTACCGTGACGTATGTAACGGAGCCTATCTAACGGAGCCCGTGGGGAGTAGCGCCACAATCTTTGCAGCGATTACATTTGCTAAACAATTCTCTTGCACCAGACAAGAATACTTCATTCTTCGCCAAACTAAGGGCGGCAGTAGCTCAGTTGGTAGAGCGTTGGCCTTTGAGCCAGAAGGTCGTGGGTTCAAGCCCCGCTCAAGACCTTCACCATCGACTCCCACTGACTACTGTCGTTGTGTCCTTGGCAAGACACTTAACCTCTGGGAACACCAGCCACAGTGGGGCGGCTGCTGCTGTAAAGTGCCAAACTGCCGTTGTTTCCTTAGGCAAGACACTTCACCCCCATTGCCTAGAATGAGTCTGGTGTGTGTATGAATGGTTGGTGGTGGTCGGAGGGGCCAATGGCGTATACTGGTTGCCTCGCTTCTGTCAGTGTGCCCCAGGGCAGCTGTGGCTACAGCAGTAGTTTATCATCACTGTGTTTGGAGAGAAAGAATAATGTTTGTGTAGTACTGGCTGTGAGTGTCACCACCGTGTATGGAGTGAATGAATAATGACACATGTGAAGCGTCTTTGAGTGTCCAAAAAAGCGCAAAACTCTTGACGTCACTGACATCTAACTACAACACCCGCCTCCCGCGCTTGCTGATTGGTCAGATGGAATTCTACCGATTGTAATCGCAAACACAGGGACCAGACCCAGACGTTACAGGCAGGAAATGATGATTGAGCGGAGTGTACGGATGGAAAAGGCCAGGCTAGTGTTTTATGTGTGTCTTATGTGTATTTTCGAAGTAGCAGCTCTGAGTCCAACACAATTTCCTACGGGACATAATAACTTAATCTTGAATCTTTTTTTTTTTTTTTTGATCAAGTATTTATTGTGTTGCGCTGCAAACAGAGATGACAATGGTCACGGAACAGAAAACAAATGCGCAAACATTTTACATTTTTGTCCCCTCCCTCCCATGGGTCCACCCATCCCAACATAAATACACAAACACACACACACACACGCACACACCCAGCCCCGTTAACCCCCCACCCCATTCTCCAGGCATCAATAACATTTCATTATTTACAGACACATAATATGGCGAACTTCCTCCGTTATGAACATCCACAGAAGCCGCAGTGTTTACATAGTCTTATGTAAACAATAATAAACAAAAAATAAAAAAAAAATAAAAAATAATAATAATAATAATAATAATAATAAAATAAAATAAAATAAAAGACAAAGCCTTACAGAAAGGGTAAAAATAAAGAACAATGGTTATGGGTTTTACATAGATCTATGTATAATACACTGGTGTATAGTCTATACAAGTTTGGTCAATAAATTAGACCAGCAGATTACATTTACCGCTTTGGCCTTATGAACCCGGGCTGCTGACAGTTCTAATTGAGCGATCTCTCTGTACGAGGAGAGCCATTCCCTCACACTCAGAGGCTGTTTAGTTTTCCAACGGCACACTATAATTTTTTTTGCAGCGGTGAGACCAGCAAACAGTGTGCGATGCTCATTAACAGTTAGATTCAGGTCTGATGTGTCATTCAATATCAAAAGCCTCGGGGTGTGGGGAATATTCTGACCTGTGATGTCAGAGAGGCACGATGAGATTGTGTTCCAGAACTGATGGACTTCAGGACATTCCCAGATCATATGAAGGTACGTTCCAATGGTATTGTCTGCACAGTAATCACAGTAAGGGTTCTCTTTTAGCTTCATCTTATGTAATTGCCTTGGAAATAAGTAGGACCTGTGGATACATTTATAATGAATCATTTGGTGATTTGGATTTCTCGATGATAGTGATAAGTTGGACCAAATTTTAGACCAGTCCCAAACGGTATAGTCATTTAAATCTGATTTCCAAAGTGATTCAATTGGCAGACGATTACATTGTGATTTTAAGATACATTTATATAGTTTGGAGACAATACCATTGAGTTTCCCTTGGCCCAGGATAGAATGGAATGGGTGGTCTGGGAGGTAGCACCCCCATGGGACCCCCTGAGCCTGCATAGCAGTCCGTAGCTGAAGATAAAAAAAGAATGACGAGCTTGGTAAATTGTAAGAAGTTCTAAGATCTTGAAATTCCCTTAGTCCATCTGGCCCTGTGATGTCTTTCAAAGAATGGATTCCCTTGTGTTCCCACTGGGGGAAAGATATTGTTTTTTTGCCTATTAAGAGTAGATGATTGTTAAAAATTGGTGACTGTAGGTGAAATATATCACTGTTTTTAGTGAACCGGTTCACCCTGTTCCAGGTCGTCACCAGGTGGGTAATGATGGGACCATGGTCTTGTTTTATCATTTTCATTGGAATGTTGGAGTAGATAAAACTTGACAAGTTATATGGTTTGACTAGCTCCATTTCAATGGGGCTCCACGATGCTGCGTTCCCAGTTCCAAGCCATGAGACCAGGGCTCGCAGAGTGAAGCACCAGGAGTACCATTCAAAATTGGGGAGGTTGAGACCACCGGATTCTTTAGGTTTTTGAAGAGTAGATGCTTTCACTCTGGGCTTTTTATTGTTCCATAAATATGTATTAGTAAGAGAATGTAACTTCTTCCAATATCCTTTTGGTGGGTCTAAGGGCAGCATGGAGCTAATAAAATTGACACGAGGTAGTATGTTCATTTTTATAACAGATAAGCGAGCTTGAAAGGACATTGGAAGTTTTCCCCATCTCTGAAGGTCATCTTTTAGAGTTCTCAAGGTATTATTATAATTTTCGTTAATCATAGTACTCATTCTCGGATGAATTTGGATACCAAGGTATTTCATAGTTTTAACAATGGGAATATTCAGAACAGACATATCATTTGTGACAAGACTGAGGCATCAAAGCAGATTTTGTCCAGTTTACTTTGTAGCCCGCTATTTTGCCAAACTGCTCAAAAGTGTCAAGCAAAAATGGAATTGATTTTACTGGATTGCTAGTATAGATTAGAATGTCATCGGCATATAATGAAATATGATGAACGCTGTTTTGAATCTTGATCGGCTCAGTTTCACCTGACTGTCTAATGAGTTGTGCTATCGGTTCTAGAGAGAGAGTAAATAACAGTGGTGACAGTGGGCAGCCCTGGCGTGAACAGCGGGACACAGGAAACCTAGGAGAGCAGGAAGTGCCTCTCATAACCACTGCACTGGGGTTGGCGTAAAGAGTTTTAATCATTAGGATGAAGTTTTCATCGAAACCAATATGCTTAAGCACAGACCATAAGTAGCTCCATTCTAATCGATCGAATGCCTTTTCAGCATCAAGCGAAAGAATGGCATTTTGGTTTGGAGCTTTAGATGAGCTGTCTATAACATGCAGTAATCTGCGGACATTGTCTGATGCGAGTCGGGACTTGATGAAACCAGTCTGATCATAATGGACCAGGTCTGGCATATATTTCTCTAGTCTAGCCGCCAGAACCTTTGCAAACACCTTTAAGTCTGTATTTAGGAGACTGATGGGCCGATAGGAGGAGCATTCTGTTCGAGGTTTACCTTTTTTGAGTAGAAGTGAAATAATTGCTATATTGGAGCTGTCAGTGAAAGAGCCATTATTAATAGAAAAATGTAACATTTTTAGGAGCAACGGTCCCAACTGGGGCCAAAGGGCACAATACAATTCGGGTGGGATTCCGTCTAATCCTGGAGATCTACCTGTGTTCATTGATTTAATCGCATTAGTGAGTTCCTCTAAAGTGATTTCTGCTCCTAATGAATCTGCAGCCTCTTGTGGCAGTTTTGAAAGATTTAGTGATTTTAGAAAATCATTGCATTTTTTGTTGCTATGAGTAACCTCTGACTTATATAGTTTTTCATAAAATAATTTAAAAGCATTATTAATATCAGCAGGGTCAGAAGTCACAGTGCCATTTTCTGTAGTAATAATAACTTAATCTTGAATCTTAACGTATGCTGTATTATTACTTTTCAGGCATCGGGACCGGGGCTGGATCTGCGATTTTTGGATTTCTAACTCGAAGCACTCTTCCTGAGGACCGTGCGACTGTCTTTGCTGCCGTCATGGCTTGTCGTCAAGCGGGCCTTCTGATTGGTCTGTAGCTGCTTTACATTTTCTCAATTGGCGAGAGGTGCTACTTATTTTGCGTTTGTTATGAAATAAGATAAACTGTATTGATCCAGAAATTCCAGCGGTGTCGGCCACTCTCATTCACACAGTGGTACAAGATAGATTAGTTGGTAAAATATAATTAAAACGGTTCAGAAGACATTAAAATGTTGAAAGTACATGGAATAATGATAATAATAATTCATTCATAAATACATTGTACATACAGTGATTTCCATTTTCTTGTGGGTCTGTTCAGGTCCAGCGTTTAACATCTTCCTCAGACTTTGTGATTTTCGTCTGGGACCTTTTGTCGTCAACAAGTTCACTGCTCCCGGGGTATGGAGACTTATGCTACGACCAGTGTTGGGAGTAACTGAGCACATGATGTAATCAGACTACTCTGAGTAACTGTAGTCCATTACAGTTACTCAAGTAAAGTCTAGTATTTGGATTATAGTTAATTTCTGGAGTAAATCACGGGAATACACAAGTTATGTTTTGGTATTTTTAAAGCAAAGATTCTATTTTTTTATTGAATGTTTTATTTATTTAAACATTTATTAAGGTTGTGGTTTTGAAATATTTAGATATTTACCTTAAGTTTTGTAAATAAATATTAATTTAAACTTAAGTATAAATAATGAAACAAATATATATAAGTATAAATAAAAATGATAATAATACATTTTATTTTATATGGCGTCTTTCTTGGTCGCCTTACAAAGGGTTACAGTTAAAAGCAAAAAAAGAATTTTAAAGGACCACTAAACACCAAATCAACTTTTTTTTAACTCATAACAGCATAATTATGTTTATTGTTGTGCTCTCTACATAGCCTGGTCATTTTTTTGACATTTTATTGCAAATTAGATAAAATCTCAAGCCTTGTGTATAGGCCGCTTTGTTTTCTCAGGCAACTCCTGTGAGATTGCCATCATGTGGTTGGTTGTGGGATTACAACATTCCCTTCAAAACTCTGCAAGGGGAACCCGCGAGTGTACCACCAACTGTGGTTACGTAGGTCCAACAAAACGCAACCGCAACCCGCGCCACGCGAGTGTACACAGGCCTTCAGTTTTGAGCCTAAAAACGTCTGTGTGACGCCCTCTCAACGTTTTCAGTGGTACTAAATTTGAATTTGGTCTTGGCCTCTCCATTGACTCTGTAATTCTGTGTGATGTCAGTTGGTGTGTGTGAAGTCAGTTGGTGTGTGTGACGTCAGTTTGTATGTGTGATGTCAGTTGGTGTGTGTGACGTCAGTTGGTGTGTGCGACGTCAGTTGGTGTGTGTGACGTCAGTTTGTATGTGTGATGTCAGTTGGTGTGTGTGATGTCAGTTGGTGTGTGTGATGTCAGTTGGTGTGTGTGACGTCAGTTGGTGTGTGTGACGTCAGTTGGTGTGTGTGACGTCAGTTGGTGTGTGTGACGTCAGTTGGTGTGTGTAACGTCAGTTGGTGTGTGTGACGTCAGTTGGTGTGTGTGACGTCAGTTGGTATGTGTGACGTGCGTCTGTCTAAATCAGTGGCTTAGATTCAGGTGTGTAGCTTTACAGTTATCTTAGTGTGTAAACAAGGGTGGAATGAGACTTTCTGGTCTGTAAACTATTGCTTTAGGCAGCAATGACAACTGTCTGTTTTTTTTTGTGTTGGGCGTGGTCATTGCCTAGACCACGCCCAACTCTAAGCCTCCCTTCTTGTCCCTTGGTCCTTGGGCAATGCCCTTTTTAGAGAACATTTTCAAATGTTCATGTGGGCGGAGTAAGGCTGGGCGAGGGTGTTTAGTCGCTCTTTAAGTATTCGGAATACAGGTACTACTTTTTCTAAAGCAACTGAATACTACACAAAATACATTTAGGTCATGTTCAAAATATTCTCCCAACACTGGCTCTAAATGTATCGACACAATCTGACTTAATTTCTCTGTTTCTCTTCTGCAGCTCTTCATGTGTGTTTTATGGATCCTACTTCAGATCTTTATTCTTTTCTTGTACTGGGACCTGCCGACAGCGGGAAAGACTCAGACTAGAGCAAAGAAAAGCAGCAGTGAGAACGACCAAGCCCTGGATGACGAAGACCATGATGATGATGACCATGATGAAGCCGAGCCCCTCATGCATTCTCAGGAGGCCCAGGGCAGGTACGGCTCCGTGCCGCCGCCTGTCGACCACACAGAAGACGATGTTCTCTCTCCGTCCACAGAGTCCCAGGCCTCTTCAAACCCTTTTAGGAATTTCAGTTTGTCCCGAGGTGAGTTTAGTCTGTGTTTATGTTTATGTAACAACATGTATGTAACATGTTTGTGTGTATGTTTTAAGTGAATAATCCAGAGAAACTGATGCTTTCATTTGCTGCAGAGTTCCTCAGAGAAGAGGTGGTGGTGCTGCTCGCTGCTCAGTTCATTACTCTGTTTAATCAGACGGCTTTAGAGGTGGGTGCAGGGGATTCTGGGCAATTAAGGGGTTTGTAACTGAGTCAAAAGCAACAATCTACAATTTATACAAACGCTCAAAGAGGGTAATAAGGAACACAAATACATGATTTGTGTTTGTATTTATTCAACAGTATCAATGACAGGACTTACTCCCCCCCCATATGTCTTAATAAACTTATGCCTTTGTTTAGGGAGAGATTAACCTGAGGCAGAAAACTTATATATATATGTTTATGTTGCTATTATCATAAAAAACAAACCTATAACACAATCAGAAAAACAATTTGCCTAAAATGGAGAAGGAAGAAGATAAAATATCTAAAATATTTACGCTCTACTTTATACTTTTTTGACGTTGAATTAATCACGTGTTAGTTTTTCATTCTGAGCGAGAATTCTACGCTGAAAAAATTGATGAAAAATAAGTTTAAAACAATGCTCAAATTTGGCAAAATGTGTCTTAATCTGACACATTCTGACTGAGCCTTAAAACCAGATTCTCCTAAGGAACAAAGTAAAATGATTTTGTTTTATAAAGACACAGAAATGTCTCCCTTGGCAGGAGGAAATAAATTAGCAGTTCATGAAATAACACTAAATGTCTTTGTCCCGTTGTAGAATCTGGTTTCACCAAAGAATGTGTCAGAATAAGATGCAAACATTAGATTCAAACTTTTATTTCCTCACGTTTCACTTTTTGCAGTGTACTGAGTCTGTGCAGAGACTATGACCTCAAATGAACAGTAGTTGAAAGCTGAAACAACAAAACCGTTCCATGAGTCAGCGTTCCGGTCACCGCTCTATTCTTTTTACTCACAAAGTCCTTTCTTATCAATAAATGTGAGTTTATAAACGTTTATATGCCCATCAGTGGGAAATGTCAGTGCTGCAATGCACAGTACAGGTAACAGAATAAAGAAAACACTGAAAAACTACACCAATTACTAGTCATATATTTTAAACCTCATTTCAAGATTCAAGAATTTATTTGCCATTTGCAGTAAAACCACAGTGTGCAGCAGACGGAACACACCGAGCTCTATCTTTAGTTAAATAATTATCAGTGCAAATGATGAGCTTTATTCAGATATTCAGATTATTCTGATACTAAGAAAAGGATTTGGTCATCACAGAGAGGATCTGAATACTGCAGTATATTATGGATACTTTGAGCATCACTAGGACATAATGCACTGTTTTGATATTACTGCTGTATTTCACACATTACTCAGGATGTAGTAGTAGTAGTAATAGTAGTAGTTAATAGTAGTAGTTAATAGTAGTGGTCAATTAGACCAGGTCAGAGTCAACCGTAAGGCATCGTTTTTTTTCTCACTCGATAACTCCGGGCTACGATATATACAAAAGACATTAGTATTAGTATCAGTAGTATTAGTAGCAGTAGTAATTTAGCCCCGCCTACATAACTTGAGTGCCGGTTAGAGGCAAAGGCTAAATGTCGGCTGGAGCCAGGATAGATTTTTACCAACATCAAGAGCAGCAAGAAAAGTCCTGTACACTCTACTGTCCAAGTCAGACACATGCTTTTTAAACACATCACCTTTGTCAACACGGCCTTTCATGGATAATCTAGTCTTGTGAAAACCGCTAAAAAAGCATGATGGAATTCCAGACACAAAAGAAATCCCAATAGAATTCCCAACACAAAAAAATCCCAATAGAATTCCCAACACTAAAAAATCGCTATAGAATTCCCGAAAAACAAAAAAATCCCAATAGAATTCCAGACTCTGATAAAATCCAGACTCTGATAAAATCCCATTAGAATTCCAGACTCTGATAAAATCCCATTAGAATTCCAGACTCTAAAAATATCCCAATAGAATTCCAGACACTAAGAAAATCCCAGAATTCCCAACACTTAAAAAAAATCCCAATAGAATTTGCGACACTAAAAAAACCTAATAATAATAATAATCCATCCATCCATCCATCTTCTACCCTTTAATCCATTTCTGGGTCAGGGGGGTGACAGTCAGAGATGCCACCCAAGTCTCATTGCACCAGCCCCTCACTGACCCTCTGCAGGTGGTGAGTCCACAGGAGGACAGCTGCTCTCTGAGTGTGAGCATAGCCTTGATCTTTCAGTGGGGGTTTTGGGCAAATAAAATAATAATAATAATAATAATGTAATTCCCGACCTGTCTGTCCATTCCCCAGACCATGGTGACGCCGCTGACCCAGAGGTTCTTTGGTTACGGCGAGCTAGAGAACAGCATCATGTACTGCCTCTGTGGCGTGGAGGTGATCGCCGGCTTCCTGTTTGTGCGGTGGTTAAGTGGGCGTGTAGCGGAGCGCGTGGTCCTCGCCATCGGCCTCGCCATCTGCAACGTCTCCAACGTCTGGTGCCTGGTCTTTATGGCCTCGCCCATCGGTCAGAACAACACTCTCTGCTGTTTTAGACGTAACTGTGGCTGTAACCTGCCATCGCCCTGTGTTTATCTAGTACATGGGTGTCCAAACTTTTTAGTAAGGGCCACTTTAGTTCAGACTAGTTCACGGACCGACATCTCAGACTGAAAAACTGTCTTTAATGGCATTGGACTGTTCTGAGCTTTAAAATGATCTGTAACAGATCTGAAGTGGGCTGAATGACACATGTTCACCATCTCACCAGCTTCGTTAGCAACATTAACGGAAGTTTGTCACACGATCAAAAACTACCTCAGTAAAGTTTGTACAAATAAAGTAAACAACTGAATTCTAGACTGGGCTTTAGAACGAGTTACAACATGTCTATATGGGCTGAGCTGAAGTTGGATGGATGACACGTGAACTTGTGTTTACGATCTCAAAGACTACTTTGGGTTATCAAGGCAGAGGGCCACATAAATTGACATTGAGGACCGCAAATGTCCCCCGGGCCTGAGTTTGGACAGGCCTGGTCCAGCATCTCTTCCTGATAGATCAGAACAACACTCTCTGCTCTTTAGATGTAACTGTGACCGTAACCTGCCATCGCTCTGTACTGCTGTGGTGTTCATCTACGCCTCTCCCTGTAGGCGCCTCCCCATGGCCGCTGACGGAGTTCATCGTGGGGGTTTTCCTTCAAGTTCTGGGTTTGCCGTTTGTCGCGGTGGCTCAGGTCTCTCTGTACTCCAAAGTCACCGCAGAGAAAACACAAGGTTTGAAACTCGTGTTTGTTGATCATTCTTCATGTTGTGTTCTGTTTGTAATGACTCCATGGTCTGTAGGATTCAGTCAAGGAGTGCGTCGCTCCGTGGGGGGTCTGGCCACCATCCTGGGCCCGCTCTGGGCTGGGGGTCTGACGGACAATATGTACATCATGTTGGGGGTCATGATGGGTCTGCTGGCTCTCTTATCGGTAATCCACCTCTAGAACTTACTTATATACATTGGCAGCACAGGAAGAGGGTTCACCTTCAGGCCTTTCTGTGAGGACTATGTTTTACCCGTGTCTTTGTTGGTTTCCTCCGGGTGGTCCGATTTTCCCTACCACTAAAAACATGTACAATAGGCCTGACAGCGCCTCCTGTAGGCGACTGCGCCATCTCTGTCTGGAGTGACAGACAAATTGCCCAAAAAACAACAAATTGTAAAGACTTTGTGTGTAGTAAGTAGAAATAGTAAGTAATCTTTACACTGTATAATTCTTACTTTCCACATTTTTAGATTAAATCTGTGGTCAGTAGCCTCAGGCAGCCTCACAGCTGCTCTTCTGCCCTAGGCCAGTTGTGGTTATAGCAGTAGTTTACCACCATAACCGTATGGAGTGAATGAATAATGCAAAGAGAAGTGTCCAAACATATAGAAATATCCTCTCTGGACTAAGAGCTGTGCACCTTCTCAAATAATCACATCTAAGATTCAGTTGTTTTAAACTGTTTCCTTGTCAATATGTGGGGTTCTGTTCTTCAAACATTGTATTGTATTCACTGATTTGGCACACATTAGATAGATAGATAGATAACAAAATAAGAGGTGGAGCAGCCGCTTGATTTGGACCATTTTCTCTGCTCTGGTCCAGAGGAAAATGTTAAATGCTTTAGAAAAAATCAAGGAACATAAGAATTGTAAAACACAAAACAACTGTTTCAGAGACTTTCTGCTGTTTCCTGAGCATTCTAAAACAAACAATCTCCTGAATCTGTTTTAAAAGTTTGACTCTGGTTTAAAGTCGGTCTCAATCTAATCCAAAGGTGTCCAAACTGGTTCAGAAAGGGCCGCTGTGGCTGCAGGTTTTCTATCCGACCCAGGAGGAGCAGAGCAGACTCCACCCATTTCCTCAAATCTTCAGGTTAAGACTGAACTCACTTGAGCAAATGGGTGGAGTCTGCTCTGCTCTTGTTGGGTCTGATAGAAAACCTGCAGCCACAGCGGCCCTTTCTGGACCAGATTGGACACCTCTAGTCTAATCCTCGCTGTGGTCTAATCGGTCTAATCCTCCAGTGGTTTAATCGGTCTAATCCTCTCTGTGGTTTTATCGGTCTAATCCTCGCAGTGGTCTAATCGGTCTAATCTTCGCAGTGGTCTAATCGGTCTAATCCTCGCTGTGGTTTTATCGGTCTAATCCTCGCAGTGGTCTAATCAGTCTAATCCTCGCTGTGGTTTTATCGGTCTAATCCTCGCAGTGGTCTAATCGGTCTAATCCTCGCAGTGGTCTAATCGGTCTAATCCTCGCTGTGGTTTTATCGGTCTAATCCTCGCAGTGGTCTAATCGGTCTAATCCTCGCAGTGGTCTAATCAGTCTAATCCTCGCTGTGGTTTTTATCGGTCTAATCCTCGCAGTGGTCTAATCGGTCTAATCCTCGCTGTGGTCTAATCGTTCTAATCCTCGCTGTGGTTTTATTGGTCTAATCCTCGCAGTGGTCTAATCGGTCTAATCCTCGCTGTGGTTTTATCGGTCTAATCCTCGCTGTGGTTTTTTATCGGTCTAATCGGTCTACTCCTCGCAGTGGTCTAATCCTCGCAGTGGTCTAATCGGTCTAATCCTCGCAGTGGTCTAATCGGTCTAATCCTCGCAGTGGTCTAATCGGTCTAATCCTCGCTGTGGTCTAATCCTCGCAGTGGTCTAATCGGTCTAATCCTCGCAGTGGTCTAATCGGTCTAATCCTCGCAGTGGTCTAATCGGTCTAATCCTCGCTGTGGTTTTATCGGTCTAATCCTCGCAGTGGTCTAATCGGTCTAATCCTCGCTGTGGTCTAATCGGTCTAATCCTCTCTGTGGTTTTATCGGTCTAATCCTCGCAGTGGTCTAATCGGTCTAATCCTCGCTGTGGTCATATCGGTCTAATCCTCGCTGTGGTCTAATCAGTCTAATCCTTGCTGTGGTCTCATCGGTCTAATCCTCGCAGTGGTCTAATCGGTCTAATCCTCGCTGTGGTTTTATCGGTCTAATCCTCGCAGTGGTCTAATCGGTCTAATCCTCGCTGTGGTCTAATCGTTCTAATCCTCGCTGTGGTTTTATTGGTCTAATCCTCGCAGTGGTCTAATCGGTCTAATCCTCGCTGTGGTTTTATCGGTCTAATCCTCGCTGTGGTTTTATCGGTCTAATCGGTCTAATCCTCGCAGTGGTCTAATCCTCGCAGTGGTCTAATCGGTCTAATCCTCGCAGTGGTCTAATCGGTCTAATCCTCGCAGTGGTCTAATCGGTCTAATCCTCGCTGTGGTCTAATCCTCGCAGTGGTCTAATCGGTCTAATCCTCGCAGTGGTCTAATCGGTCTAATCCTCGCAGTGGTCTAATCGGTCTAATCCTCGCTGTGGTCTTATCGGTCTAATCCTCGCAGTGGTCTAATCGGTCTAATCCTCGCTGTGGTCTAATCGGTCTAATCCTCTCTGTGGTTTTATCGGTCTAATCCTCGCAGTGGTCTAATCGGTCTAATCCTCGCAGTGGTCTAATCGGTCTAATCCTCGCAGTGGTCTAATCGGTCTAATCCTCGCTGTGGTCTAATCCTCGCAGTGGTCTAATCGGTCTAATCCTCGCAGTGGTCTAATCGGTCTAATCCTCGCAGTGGTCTAATCGGTCTAATCCTCGCTGTGGTCTTATCGGTCTAATCCTCGCAGTGGTCTAATCGGTCTAATCCTCGCTGTGGTCTAATCGGTCTAATCCTCTCTGTGGTTTTATCGGTCTAATCCTCGCAGTGGTCTAATCGGTCTAATCCTCGCTGTGGTCATATCGGTCTAATCCTCGCTGTGGTCTAATCAGTCTAATCCTTGCTGTGGTCTCAGGTCATGCTGGCGTTCTCCTACAGGCGTCTGGTGGAACCTGCGGCCGAGGACAACAGTCTCTCCTCAGACGACTCCTGAACGACCTTTCAACTTTGACTTTAGTAAAACACCTGAAGAAGAAGAATGTGTGTTTCCTGTGGAAATGTGGACTTCTACATGTGTTTAAATATAAATACTGACTTGGTATGTTCTCACACTAACCTAATGCTGCATTCAAGATAATTATTACTGTAAAAGTATTTTTGTTATTGTGTCTTGGTAAAACAAAATGCAGATGATTTAAAACATGTGCATTTAGTTTTGCTGCAATCCTAAAAAATAAAATTGAAAAATATGTGAAAGCTTTATATTTGTTTCTTTATTTATTTAAATGGTTCACTGTATTTAAAAATCACAAAATGAAACTTAAACTGAATTAAATTTGATTATTTAAATATTCTTTATTCACATTTTCTTGCTTCTGCACATACAGATTTTGAGGACAGTTAATTCAAATTCTAAATGTCACCACCTAAAAGGCCTAAAATAAAAATAAAAAAGTATTTGTATTTATTCCGTATTTAACTATTCATAAACGTGTGCATTAAGAGTCTGACAGTTCTGGGGCCCTCTGACAAAAAATGAATCTTTGATGTAATACTTGTCTCCAGCAGGGGGCAGTGTCGCTCCATAAACATGAAACTGAAAAAGCCAAACGTGCACAAGGCTTTGAGAATTACTAATAGTTTTTTTAGTTAAAAAAATAGATTTTTTAACATTTAAAGGAAGAGTCTGAGGCAACAGGAGTGAGTTTTAACTGTGATGTGTTTACTGTTATTAGGATAAATAAATGATAAATAAATAAAGGTTTAGATTGTAATTGTAATGATAAGAGCCCAAATTACAGACTGTTCCTTCAGTTCGAAATAAAACTGTTAAAATAAATTAACAGTAAAAAATAAAAACAATAAAATAATAAAAATATTATTAAAGGGACTTGTGATAAAGTTGAGGTGAACATGTATCAGATGTATTTTAAAATCTAACAAATATTATGGTTTATAATTTTATTCTGATTAAACACAGAAAAGTGTGTTTAACTGAAAACAAACATATATATTTTTTATGTTTCAATAATAAATAAAATAATTCAGTTTGTGGGTCTCTGCTGCAGGATCCTCTTTATGAGACAAAATATAAAATTAAGAGAAATGGCAACAATTAAATATGTTCATTATTGACATTTATTCTTCATTATTCTCGATCTTCCAGTTTTTCCAGAGCCGGGTTTGTGTCTGAGCTGCGAGGCCTTTACACACTTTGTTTTTTTTATCTTTTGTTTCTTTGTTCAGCCATTATTCTGATTGACATTATTGCAATCATAATAAAAATAATAGTTACACAAGTACTTTGATCGACCAATTTTTTACCATAATTTTCGAGTACTTTTTCCTTCCACATTTTCTGTAACAATGATTTCCATTCTGTACAACGGTTTTACAGGAGTCACATGGTCCAGAGAGTTCCAAAACCTTTTCCTCGGACTGGATTTTATTCTGATCTATTCTGTCATCTCCCTCTGGAATGTAGACCGACCGATAAAAACACAAATAATAACATTTTAAATAAAAAATATAATTACAAAATATTAGTTGTGTGATTCCCGTTAAAGTGCAGGAAAGAAACGGTTTGTCTTAAATATAATTATTTATATTTAACGCTTTAAAGTTCAGTCCTTGAAAAAAGCATTGGCATTTTTTATTTTCTATTCTCTAAAACGTAGGAAACTAATAAAACAAATAATGTGTTTTATGTATTTTTTTTTTAACCCCTAGTTTTTTTGTTTTGTTTTTTTATTCTGGGCCTTTACCAAATGTTTGAGGCCGTTTAATGTAAAAATGGCTAAAACCAAGAGACGGAGGTTCTCCAAAGAAGAAGATTTTAGTTCAAAGCTTGAATCCTTTTTTAATTTAGAACATTTTATAAAACACGTTTCTGCACTGATAAAAGTAACACATAAAAATACACACGTCTGCCAGCTTTAAATAAAAACAACTATTAAAAGAAAAGAAAAAAAATAATCATAATAAAAACAAAGTCGATACAGTGACTTTAAAGGTGATTTGTGAAGTTCAGTTTTTTACAAATACAAAACAAAAACATTTATTTATAATTAGTGACGTTGTAGATTTGTATATAAACTTTTGAAGCAACAATTATTTAAATATGGTCCAAGATTTTACACAGAACTAAAATATGTAACCAATCACTAGAAATACTATTTTCCCACCGACTAATCTGCTTTTATTGTACTTTTATTAGACTCAATAAAATGCATTGGTAAATTTAGCTTCAGTGGATTTTGCTCTAAAAGATTTCAGACGTCAGCTGTGGATGTTATATTTATTCATTTTATTGACATTTATCAACATTCATGGACCTTGGTGTCTCCCTATGGTCCAATATCATGTGGTGTCTTTCTATGGTCCAATAACCATGTGGTCTCTCTCTATGGACCAGTGCCATGTGATCTGTGTTGGAGAATCGACAGTTTTTTGTATAGTCTCTGAGATGATGCGGTTGTGATTTAGGGAAATACAAGAATAAAGTGAATTGAAAAGTTTTTATTTATTCAACGGGGACGATGCAACATAGAACAAAACAAACTGTAACTAATGCTAAAGGAGTTTATAAATATTGCAAATTTTCAATCCAGTCCCTGCTTCTTTCTACACTCAGATATTCATTATTTTTTGATTTTATTCGAGTTGAAATATTTACAATGTCTTTTAAACATGGGCATGTTTTATGCATTTACAAAAAACACTACAATTCTGTTTGGACTTAACCCAGGAAGTGAACATTTTAACCTCAGTCATGAGTTCCACAACTTTGCACTTTTATGTGAATTCAATTTTAAACATTATTATTATTATTATTATTAATCTTAATCTTTATTAAGGACAAATTACAATACAGTCCATATCTGACGAGAACACAGTGGATGATGTCTAACTCCTGTCTCTACATGCTACGCTAACACTTCAGCAGGTCTGTCTGTCTGCTGTTGTGCCCATGAGCAGGTGTGGGGACCGGGCCGAGCTGAGCCGGTCCGTGCTCGGCTCTAAACCTCTGAAAATCTGGAGGTAAAGTATTGGAGATGTGAATGATGATGATGAGTGTGTTTTTCCCTTGCTCCGGTCGGTGTCGCTGTGGTCCTGCTCCTCTCGTTCCCAAACTAGGCCATGGCTGTTGGACTTTACTGATGCCATGTCATCTGTCTGGGGACCGTGGCGAGGGTGGCGAAGGGGCGGGGCCTGGCTGAACTGAGCGTGACCCCGGGACGATGCACATGTTATGACACAGGATGGAGAGAGATATTTTGGGTGTTTTCTGAGTCGCTTTCACACACACCGCCCTCAGCGAGCTCTGACCGGGCACTGACCCGCGAATCAGGGTCAGATCTGAGCTGCTGCTGCTGCTACTGCTGCTGCTACTGCTGTCTCTGGGTATAACTCTGGGTAACGCTGGCCTTCTCCCTCCTCCTCTCGGTCTCAGTCGAAATAAACGAGAAGATGATCCAACGAAACACGGCGTGTGACCGGAGCATGAACTGTCTGCGGGGCTCAGAGGCCGTGGAGAGTTCACCAGGACTTTATTATTGTGGTTTTATGTCATGTCTCAGACTGGACCAGGCCAGACCGACTGGACCAGGCCTCAGACTGGACCAGGCCTCAGACTGGACCAGGCCAGACCGACTGGACCAGGCCTCAGACTGAACCAGGACTCAGACTGGACCAGGCCTCAGACTGGACCAGGCCTCAGACTGGACCAGGCCAGACCGACTGGACCAGGCCTCAGACTGAACCAGGACTCAGACTGGACCAGGCCTGACTGACTGGACCAGGCCTGACCGACTGGACCAGGCCTGACTGACTGGACCAGGCCTCAGACTGGTCCAGGCCTCAGACTGGACCAGGACTCAGAAAGGACCAGCCCTGACCGACTGGACCAGGCCTTTACTACGGCTGTAGTCATTTTTATTTTTATTTAAACTCTGAGAATAATGTTTAATGATGATATTTTGGGGATTTAAAATGAAATTAATGACGCACTGATGCAGATTTGTCATGTCCTAAACCCAAAAACAAATTAAATCACTTTTATAAAATGGGTCCAATAATGTTTTTACCTGCTGTAACTACAGAACAACTATCTTTAAGTTATGGGATAATATCAGTAAATATCATTATTATATCAAAGCAAAGGCCTCAAACCAAGACACAATCCAAAATATATCTGATATTATCTGCACCACTTTGTACTTTGTTCCAGGAAACTAAAATAATAAACTAAAACATTTAAGTGTTGAGTGGAAACCATAGAAATTAAACTTTGTTCATTTGTAGAAATATATTAAATCTCTCACTTGTGGCATTGATCCAACAGAAATAACTGAACAAAACAGCATTGTAAGGATCTGGTTTCAAAGACAGTGTTTTGTCTTTATAAACCTTTTTTTTCTAAAAAAAAACAGTAAATTATTTCAATTTTGTAGTGCATTTATACAGACCATGAAGATATTACTTTTACTTTTTAATTATTTGTATTAAACCACAGAAAACACAAACACAAATCCTAGGATTAAAACAAAGAAACAGAAAAAAAATAAGAACAAAGAAAGAAGGACAAGGAACACATTTAAAAACATAGTGTCTAAAGCAGACTTGGAGATTCTTATCCATGCATTTGTCTCCAGTAGGTTAGACTACTGCAATGGCCTGCTCACAGGTCTGTCCAAACAGGCTGTAAAACAGCTGCAGTACATTGAAAATGCAGCAGCTCGAGTCCTGACTAGTAGACTTTATTTACTATTTACTGCTATATGTCTGATAGAGTTAATTTCAGGCAGCTCTTGAACTTATGAACTTAAGAATAATATTTCATGAATGAAAGTTACATTTATTTGGATTTTTGTCAAACTTTGAACAAGCAAAAAAATCAGTCAAATTCTCACGTTAAAGCATTTCTCGCTGTCATGAAGAAAATACGGAAAATCTTTCATGTTTTCATTCCCTTCTCCCTCACCTCTGTCTCTCTGTCTTCCTCTGTCTCTCTGTCTCTCTCTACCGCTATCTCTCTCTGTCTCTCTCTTTGTCGCCGTTTCTCTCTGTCTCTGTCTCTCTCTGTCTGTCTCTCTCTTTCTCCATCTCTGTCTCTCTCTATCTCTCTCTATCTGTCTCTGGCTCTCTCTGTCTCTGTATCTCTTTCTCTCTCTGTCTCTCTCAGTCTCTCTCAGTCTCTCTTTGTCTCTCTGTCTCTGTCTCTCTCTGTCTCTCTGTCTCTGTCTGTGTCTCAGTCTCAGTCTCTGTCTCAGTCTCAGTCTCTGTCTGTCTCTGTCTTTCCTGTCTCTCTGTCTCTGTCTCTCTGCCTCTGCCTCTGTCTCTATCTCTCTCTGTCTCTCTGCCTCTGTCTTTGTCTCTGTATCTCTCTCTCTCTCACTCACGTCTGATTTTATTTGATTTTATGCAGACATTGAAATAAAAAGAGTAAAAAGGACCATCAGCCACATGCACCAGTCCTGCAAAAACTGTACAAGAAAGACAAATATTACCTGAATCACATTGCTTTTGATTTTAGTCAAAGTTTGAACCAACAAAAAAAATCAGTCAAATTTTCACTTGGAACAAAAACATTACACTCTGTCATGAATCTTTCAAGTTTTCATCCCCTTTTCTCACCCTCACCTCTCTCTCACCCTCACCTCCATCACCTCACTTATCTCTCTCACCCTCACTTCTCTCTCTCTCTCTCACCGTCACCCTCACTTATCGCTCTCTCTCTCTCTCTCTCTCACCGTTACCCTCACTTATCTCTCTCTCTCACTTATCTCTCTCTCCCTCTTGTCTTCCACTTTTATCCTGGGACACGTTCACAGTGGAGGAACAACACCACTTTGGTTCGAGTCCCATCAGAGTTTCATGAAGCTGCTGGAGGAGGAATAAATGGACACAAGTGTTTGTGAAGCCTCATGTTCTGTCAGAGATACATGAATATTCAGAGAGAGTCCACTCGCCACGCGAACATCAAAACTGTGGCACATGTGAAGTCTAAGACAGTCCGTGAGAGTCCCAGAGAGTCCCAGAAAGTCCCGGAGAGTCCCAGAGAGTCCCAGAAAGTCCCAGAGAGTCCCAGAAAGTCCCAGAGAGTCCCAAGAGTCCATGAGTGTCCCAGAGAGTCTAAGAGAGTCCCAGAGAGTCCCAGAAAGTCCACGAGAGTCCAAGAGAGTCCCATATCTGTCAATAATACATAAGTCACTTTGCAGACGTGACACGGCTAAAAACAACACAGGGAAAAGCAGACTGTGCAAGTGTCTTCACTGGGGTGGAATAAAAGGCCTCACGAGAGAACAATTAAATAAATAATAATACTAGGGTTAGATTTGAGGCTGTATACATGGATTATTAGTGAAATACTGCAATTTCCCTGTATCTACGTATCCTATATCTACAGTACAGAGCAAAAGTTTGGACACCTTCTCTCCTGTGTTCTTTTCATGACTATTGGCTGTAGATCCACATCAGGCTGTGTAAGGGCTGTTTGACCAATAAGGAGAGTGATGGTGCTGGGCAACATGACCTCCACAGTCACTGGACCTGAACCCAGTCCAGATGGTTTTGGGGCTGGACCACAGAGTGAAGGGGCCAACAAGTGTTAAGCATCATGGGAACTCCTTCAAGACTGTTGAACCCTCACCCGAACCCTCACCCTAACCCTAACCATTTCAGGTCCTCTTGAAGCTCATCAAGAGAATGCCAAGAGTGAAGCAGTAATCAGAGCAAAAGGTGCTACTTTGAAGAACCCAGAATATAACACATATTATCACTTGGTTCTTACTTTTTTAGTACGTATATAATTCCACATTAGTTTATTCATAGTTTTGATGCCTTCAGTGTCAATCTACAATTTTATAATCATGAAAATAAACAACTCTTTGAAAAGAAGGTGTTCAAACTTTTTGTCTGTACTGTATATAACTTAAAAGATTTATAGAAGGATTTTACAAAATTTTAGGAAAGAACCAGAAAGATTGACAGTTAGGAGGACCAATAGTCTTGATGATCCGGAAGTAGAAAATCCTCCAATAAACCTTTAAAGCACTTTATATATAGAGATATTCTACCACTCACTTGTTCTGATAATAATTTACTTACTAGTCACTATTACTTTACCTGTTGGTATTTATATTATTATTATCATTATTATTATTATCATTATTATTATTGTTATTATTATTATTATTATTATTATTATTATTATTATTATCATCATTATTATTATTATTAATATTATTATTATCAAGTGACATTATGGCTCCAGAGTTTTATTTTATTATCTATGACTGATCATTTTATTATTATCTTAGATAATAGACCCTGTTTGATGTGTGCGTCTCAGTCTTATTTCCTTCTTTTTATTCTGCTGTAATTCTTTCATTTATTTTCTTTATAAAGAAAATGGGCGGCACGGTGGCTGAGTGGTTAGCACTCTCGCCTCTCAGCAAGAAGGTCCTGGGTTCGAATCCCGGTCGGACCAGGGCCTTTCTGAGTGGAGTTTGCATGTTCTCCCCGTGTCTGCGTAGGTTTCCTCCGGGTACTCCGGTTTCCCCTACCACTAAAAATATGTCCAATAGTTCTGGCATGTGCCTCCTGTACTGGCGACCCCGCTCCCATCTCTGTGTGGAGTGAGAGACAAATGCCCAAAATTAACAATTGTAAACCGCTTTGAGACTCAGATCTGCAGTGAAAAGGCGGTATATAAATAAAAAACTTACTTACTTACTTTATTTTCTTTGTAATCCCTGCTCAAAACTTAACTATAAATTTTAGATTTTTATTTTTGTTTAAAGCGTCTTTGAGCGTCCAAAAAAGCATTATGTAAGTACATTATATTATTATTATTATAACTATGATTATTATGAAGCATTTACACTTAGACACACAGCAGCTACTTACTGTATATATTGTGTGTGTGTCCTGTCGATGCAACACTGAAATTTCCCCTCTGTGGGAGGACGAAAGGAGGTCTCAGTGTTTCCGTCAGTGCAGAGTAAAAGGTTCATGAGCGGAGTCTGAGCTGAGTTTATTTGAAAAGGTCGGATTAAGCTCCGAGAAATGTCACTGCGAAAAGACAAACTTCAGCTTTTTCGGGTTTTTTTAGTTAAATTATTATTTTATTTATACTTTATTTTTGAGTTTCTGCCTTTAGAGTTCATGGAATGAAGCATAACAAGGCAACAATTATAATGCAAAGGAAAATATTAATAATAATAATAATAATAATAATAATGATAATGAATAATAATGAACAATGATAAAGAAAAAAAATACATTATGACAACAACAACAACAATAATATTAACAATTACAATACAAAAAATACTATAAAGAACAAAAAAAGATGCAAATGATTTCAAATGTCTTTATAATCAGTGGAAAAGGGTTAAACAAGAATATAATGCTCTACAGCCGACATGTCAACCTCAGGCTCAGGGGCCAAACCCGGCCCTCAAGACAGTTTTCAGTGGCCTCTAAATTCATATCAATGTTGATGGTTCTGGGTTTTTTCCCCGGTCGTGTTTTACATTGTGTACTTTCTCAGGAAAACATTTAATTTATTCTAAAATTTTAACCCAACGCATTATACTACATATAAAAAAAATGTCTTTTTAAATTTGATCCAGTTTTGATTAAATCTAAGCAATAAATAGGCCTGTCACAATTACAAATTTTGCTGGACGATTAATTGTCCCAGAATTTATTGCGATAGGCGATAGTATTGTTGTTCTGAGATCATTTTCATCTAATACAATGATTATGATGCAGGTACACCTT